TCATTGTAGAGATGAGGTCTCGCCAAGTTGCCCGGGCGGGTCTCGAACCCGCGGGCTCAGCCAATCCACTCACCTCAGCCTCCCAAAGCGCGGGATTACAATAAAAAGCAAAACCTAGCCAGGGGGTAGCGCATGCCTGTAATTCTGGCTACTCGGAAGGCTGAGGCGGAAGGATCGCCTGAGCCCAGCAGGTCGAGGCTGTGGTGGCCTTGAGGGTGCCACTGCATTACAGCCTGGGCGACAGAGTGAGACTCTGACTCAAAAAAAAAAAAAAAATTAGTGTTATGACAATTCAAGTTTATTTTTTTCTTAATTATTTTTCTGATTTTATTTTATCTTGTTATTATTTTTTTGATTCAGGGTTTGTCTCTTGGACTGGAGTGCAGTGGCATGTCATGACGGTCCTAGCTTATAGCAGCCTCGACCTCCTGGGCTCAGGCAATCCTCCTCAGCATCCTGAGTAACTGGGACTACAGGCCACCACACCTGGCTAAGTTTTTAATTTTTTTGTAGAGACATCCACGTGCCTTGGCCTCCCAAAGTACTAGGATTATAGGTGTGAGCCACTGTGCCCAGGCTTATTTTTCTGATTTTATTTTACTTATTTAAAGTTTTCAAACAAAATTTATTAGAGAAAGAAGGGAGAAAAGAAAGGGAGACATGTCAGATTTGGCATGAGCGAAAAAATCACCTATTTTCTTTTCTTTTTTTTTTTTTTTGAGTTGGAGTCTCACTGTCACCCAGGCTGGAGTGCAATGGCACACTCAAAGCTACTCAGCCTTAACCCGCTGGGCTTAGGCGATCATTCCGCCTCAGCTTTCCAAGTAGCTGGAACCACAGGTGCGTGCCACCATGCCTGGTTAATTTTTATTTATTTATTTATTGTAGAGAGAGGTCCTGCCAAGTTGCCCAGGCTGGTCTGGAATCCTTGGGCTCAGGCAGTCCTCTTGCCTCTGCCTCCGAAAGTGCTGGGATTACAGGCGTGAGCTGCCACTCCCAGCCTGAAATAGTTTTAAAGGAATAGAAGTATAGTTTAAAAACTCAAATAGCTGAGAGGAAGGAAAACATACATCCACACAAAATCATGTACATGAATATTCCATAGCTGCATATTCACAATAGCCAAAAAGTGGAAACAACCCAAATGTCCATCAACTGATGATAACATGTGGTATATCCATATGCCAGAATATTATTCAGCCTTAAAAATGAATGAAATGCAAACATGTGCTACAACGTGGACAAACCTTGAACACATGATGCTAAGTGAGATAAGCTAGACATAAAAGACACATATTATATGATTCCACTTGTATGAAATTTCCAGAACAGGTGAATCTATAGAAGCAGAAAGTAGATGAGTGGTTGCCTTGGGCTTGGGGGAGGGCGGAAAACACACGGAAGTGGGGGAGAAGGTAGAGAGTGGGCAGTGACAGCTCAACGGTTTCTTTTGAGGGAGGGACAAAACGTTCTAAATTTAGGTTGTGGTGATGGTTGCACGACTCTGTGAATATACTAAAAAGCACTGGATAGTACACTTTAAATGGGTCAACAATATGGTATGCAAATTGTATCTTGATAAAGCTGCTTTAAAAAACTTCAAACTGGGCCAGGTTCGGTGGCTCAGCCTGTGGTCCCAGCACTTTGAGAGGCCCAGGCGAGTGGATTAATTTGAGACCAGTCCAAGCAACTTGGCGAGACCTCGTCTCTACAATATATCAAAAAAAAATTAGCCGGGTGCGGTATGCACACCTGTAGTTCTGGCTACTTGGAAGGCTGAGACCAAAGGATTGCTGGAACCCAGCAGGTTGATGCTGGGGGTGGCTGTGAGCAGGCCACTGCACTCCAGCCTGGGCAATGGAGTGAGACTCCAATTCAAAAACATAAAAAATAAAATAAAATTTAAAACCCTTCAAATTCTACTGAAAGGTCTGTAAGAAAAACCACCAGTTTCCTGCCCATCTGCTCCCCGTTCCCCATTGTTCCCCTAATTATTTTCTTCAAACCTTTCATTGTTTGCCCCAGTATCCTTCTCCATATTTTAAAATAATATTGGTTTTTCTCCTAAAAGGCAATTTTGAACATGATCTACTATGTTTCCACCATGGTAGAAGAGAATTTAACTCTACCTATCACACTAACATCTCCAACCACAGTGCTTTTTTTCTCCCACATGCCCCCTGCATTTAGGATAATGCATATTTTAAAATTTGGTTAAATCAATAGTTATTATTATTTTAGCTTTACAAACACACACAGCCTTTCTACACCTTGTTTTTCTTGGAGTTTTTATTATGCTTGGTTTTTTACAAATCTGATTAAATCACTGTCACTTGCCTGATGACAGTATTTTCCATACCCTCAAACTTATCAATTCTATTATTTTGGGACCTCCTTCAGCAGAACTTTTCTATGCTCCAGCTACAACCTGGAGCAGTGTTTCTCTACTGCAGAACCATCATTCTGGAACTCGACTTCGACATTCTTTTTTTGTTGGCTTCTCTGACTCCTACATCCAATGTATTCCTCTTTCTTGACTTACTATCTCCTTTTCATGCCACTTCCTCAGAAAGAGTGCATTTTTTGCATCTTTTACACAGCTGAAAATATATTTCCTTACCTCTACCCTTTATTGACATTTACCCGGAATAGAATCCTAGATGTCTGAGCATATTGAAAACATTATCCACTAATTTTTAAGTTCCACTGTTGCAGATGAGAAGTCTGCTACCATTCTGATTTCCAATTCTTCATACATGAACTTTTTTTGATGGCCAGTTTCTCTCTCGCAGCTTTTAGGATCTTCTCTTTATCCCTGATGTTCTAACATGTCTAAATATGAATCTCTTTTCATTTAACAAGAGGGACACTCAATGGACCCTATTCTTGTCCTTCAATTCTGTGAAACCTTCCTTATATTATTTATTTTATACTTTTCTCCTTTCTGTTTCTTCCATTTTCCCTTTCTAGAACTCCTACTAATTAGATTTTGGATCTCTTATACTCATGCTCTAATTTTATCATCTCTTACCACCTAATTTTCATTTCTTGATCTTTTTTATTCTGTATTCTAGAAGATTCCCTCAGCTATATTTTGTACTTTCCTACAGTTTTATTCTGGCTGTCATTGTTAATTTAATTTATAAACATTCTTTTTTATTCTGATTGTTCCTTTTCAATAGCATCATATTTATTTCTCTGAGGCTACTAATTACAAGGTTTTAAAAAATATTTCCTTTTACTCTCTGCATGGTCTGTTTTCTCCGAGTTCCTTTTTTCTACTTGTGTGTTTTGATCTTCCTCTCCTACTGGAGGCTTTTCTTTTCTTTTCTTTTCTTTTTTGAGTTGGAGTCTCACTCTGTCGCCCAGACTGGAGTGCAGTGGCCACTCCCGGCCACCACAGCCTCGACCTGCTGGGCGCCGGCGATCCTTCAGTCTCAGCCTTCCAAGTAGCCAGAATTACAGGCATGCGCTACCACACCCGGTTGATTTTTTTATTTATTGTAGAGATGAGGTCTCGCTGCCCAGGAGGGTCTCGAACCCGCGGGCTCAGGCAATCCACTCTCCTCAGCCTCCCAAAGGCGCGGGATTACAGGCTGAGCCACCGAGCATGGCTTGGAGGCTTTTCTTACCTGCTATTCCATGGCCCTTTGCTCATTCCTCAACATGAGACACTCTGAAGCTAGCGGGAGGCTCTGAGGCCACAAGCCTTGACTGGCAGACTCATCACAGGGTGACTAACATGCAAACCAGGTTTTCATGGGTGGAGGCAAAATGTCAGCACCTTAAGGTCTTTTCTCTGGGATAGAATCACTCAGACTCCCCCACCCGTGTCTAAGAGGTATAAGCTTGGCTAGCAATATTCCAGAAGCATGGTAAAGACCAGTCTCTCTAAGTATGTTCAGATTGGAGTGTGAGCATTGAAGAACCACCTCTTTCTGTTCCCAATTGAGACTAAAACACACACACATACTGTTTTGTATCTGTTTTAAATTTATATTTAGACCTTGTCCTAAATCATTAAAATTGTTTGAAAACCTCATATTGCATGCTGAAATACAACTTTACTATATTTAGTGTTAGCTATTCCCTTGTTAGACATTTACATTGTTTCCATGTCACTTTTTTCCCCCCAAAGATGACTGTTACAAGAAAATATTTACTTGGTTCTCTTCTCTCTACAGGTTACATTCAGTATGCTGGAAATTTACAAGGAACAGGTAAGAGATTCTATTTTCTGACGCACAAATCTGGGTGACTCCCTGCGGCTTAAAAACCATTAGGGACTCCCAATCGTCTATCCTACAGGTAAACTCTAGCCTGGCCTTGACTTTCCAGCCCTACCAAAGACAGTTGCCAAGAAGTAAAGGGCCTTTGACTCGTAGGCAAGGGAGAGTTAGTCACAAGTTCTAAATAGGGATATATCATCAAATTGGAGTTTCTCCAGCAGCAGCATGAAGCTGAATTTGAAGGCAAGCCAAACAGAGCAGAGAGAAAAGTTAGGAGGCTCTCATAGGAGCCTAGGTGAGTGATAAAGGTCATGATAATCACCGCTTTTGATCTCCAGACACAACCTAGGGGTTCCTGGTGCTAGGATCTGCCCCTGTCTCTCGGTCCCTGCACTTCTATTCCATCCAAACAAACTTACCTTTCTTCCAATAAGCTTTACTCAGTCATGTCTTCAGCCCGAGATGCCATTTCCTATAATTTATATAACTCAGGGGAGATCACCGGAAAAGCTTCCTAGCCAAGGCCGATGTTTTCTCCATTTTTATTTACTTATTTTTTTAATCTCTGGTACCTTCTATCTACGGTCCTAATTTTGCTTGCCTAAACTTCAGACTGTGATCTTGCCTTGACTCTAGGACTTAAAGCCACAGATACCAGAGCTGGGGTAGACCTTTCCCCCTATAAAGACAAAACTGGGATTGTAAGAGACTTTCCAAAGGTCTCATGGTCTGGAGGCAGAACCAGGACTGAGAACATGGCCTTCAGATTCCCAACCCAGGTCTCCCCTCACCATGTAACAGACCACCACTGTAAGGGTTCTGGCTTTATCAGGCCCCTATAGCACAACTCTACTTTGTCTTCTCAGCAGAGGCAACAGGGACTTTGCCTAAAGCCATGGTCTAAGTATGGCATCACACAAATCCCCAATCATAAAATCCAAAGAATTACCCATATTCTCTTGTTTGGTTTGGTTGTAGCAAATAATGTTCAGATTGAATCAGTTTCCCTTGAAAGTAGAGATTTCAGAGCAGTAGTGTGACTTAACCCAGGCAGAATGTGTTTTCTGCTTATATTGGGTACTTTGACTATTATAACTTCGAATTGTTTTTATTTTCATTTATCACTGTTCTCAGTAAAGTAAGACTTCATTACTTTGCAATACAGAATTTGTGATAATTTAAAGAGGCTAGGATGTTTTACTTTTATATTACTCACAGAGGAGTTGCCCATGAAATAAAAGAGTTGAAATTTCTTTTTCTTTTTTCTAGTCGGGTACACACTTGAAAACAATACAACTGCATTGAGAATTTTTTTTTTTTGAGTTGGAGGCTCACTCAGTCGCCCAGACTGGAGTGCAGTGGCCGCTCCTGGCCACCACAGCCTCAACCTACTGGACTCCGGCAATCCTTCTGCCTCAGCCTTCCAAGTAGCTGGAACTACAGGTGTGCGCTACCACGCCCGGCTAATTTTTTGATTTATTGTAGAGTTGAGGTCTCGCCAAGTTGCCCAGGCGGGTCTCAAACCTGCAAGCTCAGGTAATCCACTCACCTCAGCCTCCCAAGGCATGGGATTACAGGCTGAGCCACCGAACCCGGCTGAGAATTTTTTTTAATGTTAAAATATTTTTTTTTGAGTTGGAGTCTCACTCTGTCACCCAGACTGGAGCGCAGTGGCTGCTCCTGGCCACCGCAGCCTCAACCTGCTGGACTCCGGCAATCCTTCTGCCTCAGCCTTCCAAGTAGCTGGAACTACAGGCGTGTGCTACCACACCGGCTCATTTCTGATTTATTGTAGAGATGAGGTCTCACCAAGTAAAATTTAAAAAAAATATGCTTCTGACTTCATTAATTATAGCAGTCTTCCTTATCTTTTTGCTTGCTATCTTCCTAGCTCTTACTTGGCTAAAGTAGCTACAGAAACTTAAGTTATTTATTCACCCAATAAATATTTATTGAGCACCTAATATATTGTGGCCAGAAATATGACAGTGAAGCAAACAAATCTCCCATCTCCTTGAAGTTGATTCTTTTCCCCACAGATAAGAGATTTGCTGTCTAGAAACAAAAAACCTGGTGGGCTAAAAGTAAGGGAAGATCAACAGCTAGGCTTTTACGTGGAAGGCCTGACGACAGTGCCTTGTGAGAACTACGCGCAAATTGAAAGGCTGATGGAACAAGGAACAAAAATAAGGACCACAGCTTCCACCAACGTGAACACCAGCAGCAGCAGGTCCCATATGGTCATCACCATCCAGTTCAAGCAGGTAAGAGAGAGTCAGGTGGATATTATTGTCCTGCTCTCCCGGCAAGGCTGGGCTAGGGAAGGTTCCCAGTGGCAAAATGGGCTGGTGGCTATTATGGAATCCTTGCAGAGTTAAGCTGTGGATTAAGGAGCTCTTCCAACTGTAGAATACAGGGTCAGAGGCAGGAAGAAGTAAGGCACCTGCTCTTTTCCTGTCCCTGCCTCACTTCAACAGCCACGCCTCACCTGGCCTCAGGGAGCCCATTGCTAACAGTGGAGTGGTAGTATGGTTGACCCGATCCCCAAAATGCTCACAGGACTAAAGATTGTTTTCCCTCAAGTCAATTCCATGCCCTGAACAAATAATTTTGGCCTCAAGTTGATCAGTGAGCAAACTGTACAGGTATGAGAATGACTCTGTGGTTTACCATAGAAAATTTTATCAGCAGTGAGTCTGTGCATCACCAATGCGATGACCAGCTTTCAGATCCACAAACCCAGGGGACACCAGATTCTGAAGTACCTTTTCAGTCCCTGGAAGTACCAAGATAAATTCATATAACACTCCACTAACTAGAATCTTTGATAAACTAGTACACACTTTTCTCCCCCACGCTCCTTGGTGGGTATCAGGGAATGATCTCTACAATAGCGACAGTTTGATCTAGAGATGGTTATTCACAAATCTTGAGTGAACATTACCCCTACGCCATAGTACTAGTAATCGACTAGCAATTAATGAAAATTATTCTGCTCCAACCAGGAAGAGTAGAGAAACACTGAACTGTGTATAAGTCTGACTCCTTGGTTCACCTGCTCTAAAACTTTGGGAAATAACTTCATCTCCTGAGTCTGTTTCCTCTTCTGTAAAATGAGATAAATAGTTCTCTCACAGGAATGTCAGCAGGCTTGAATAAAATACTCCATTTCAAATAACTGTAAATGTTTAAGTGTTCTTCACTTGATTTTATAATGTTAGTAAAATTTTTTAAATGTATATGGTTTGCCCTGTTATTGTTTTAACTTGACATTTTAGGGCAAGAGAATAAATCAGGTGGGGGAAAAAAGAAGAGATTTAGCACCATATTCTCCATGCTGGGGGCAGTAGTAATTTTTTTTTTTTTTTGAGTCAGAATCTCACTCTGTCAGCCAGGTTGGAGTGCAATGGCATGCTCACAGCCACCGCAGCCTCAGCCTGCTGGGCTCAGGAGATCCTTCTGCTTCAGTCTTCCAAGTAGCTGGAACTACAGGTGTGTGCCACCACACCTGACTAATTTTTTTATTTATTAGAGATGAGGTTTTGCCAAGTTGCCCAGGCTGGTCTTGAACCCATGGGCTCAAGCAATCCTCTTGGCTCAGCCTCCCAAAGTGCTGGGATTACAGATGTGAGCCACCACACCCGGTTGGCAGTAGTAATATTAACACCAGCTATTGTATGCCAGGCATGTGTTATAACCGTGACAGCTGTAATCGTGAACCCTCATAACATCTCATAATGTGCTCCTACCACTGGTTTACAACTGAAAAGGTAAATCATTTGCTCATAGTTATGTAGCCAGCAAGGGAGTCTATAGGAGTCTATAATCACGTTCTTTCCACTACCCAACCCCACAGAGTCCTGAAGTTATTTATTTTTTGCAGATTTCACCATATTTTATATTTAAAAAGTTTACTGACCACAGAAATACTGGGACAATAATTGGTATCTATTATCTCATTGGAAAATAATTTTGCCCAATTGGGAAGGGGAAACTGAGAAATTTGGGCCAGGTGATATATTATTATAAAGTATCATTGTAAAGAGTGTGGCATGTCGCCAGGCGTGGTGGCTCAAGTCTGTAATCCCAGCACTTTGGGAGGTCAAGGCGAGAGGAATGCCTGAGACCAGGGGCTTGAGACTAGCCTGGGCAATTTGTCGAGACCTTATCTCTACAATAAATCAAGAAATTAGCTGGGTGTGATACCACACGCCTACGGTTCTAGCTACTTGGAAGGCTGAAGTGGAAGGATCACCTGAGCCCAGCAGACTCAGGTTGCGGTGGCCGTGAGCGTGCCACTGTACTCCAGTCTGGGCGACAGAGACTCTGACTCAAAAAAAAAAAGAGAGTGGCATTTAAATTATAGTTTGTATTGCCTCTTTTGAATCTGAAAAATAATTAGAAAAACCACTTACACATGGAAGCTACAGACATCCTATGCAGCCTGCCACCACCCCTAACACTGTGGCATGACCTGTGGTGCTTTTCTCCAGGTTTTCCTAGACAGAGACCTCACCAAACAATCCAGTATTAATTTGGTGGACTTAGCAGGAAGTGAAAGGCAGAAGTCTTCAGGATCTGAAGGAGACAGATTGAAGGAAGGATCACGAGTTAACTTAAGTTTAACCAATTTGGGAAATGTCATCAGGTAAATAATCAGTAGATGGGTATTTGTGCCATAAAAAATGACCTCAGTTATTTTTAAAAATTGGATTAAGTATAACCTTGATTCATGATCTGTTGTTGTAATGGGCTCATGCCTGACCCTCCAATATATTTTAAACTAGTTAATTTTTTAAATGAAATAACACTAATAAAACCACCACCCAACCCAAGAACAAGTTGATATTCCTCTCCTATCCTCCCCTTAGAGGAACCGCCATCTTGAATTTTATGTTCTCTCACTTTCTCCCCCTCCTCCTCCTTCCTTGTTGCATCACATGTGAATATTATTGTTAGTGGCACTCATTTTTGAACTTTATAAAAAGGGTAAAACGTTGGGAGAGTCTCTGAACCTATTCTGGCTTGCGGGGAGCTGCCTGATCCACAAAAAAAATTTTTTTTTTTATTTTTAAAGGATAAAGTGCTATATTCTGGGACATACTTAAAAATCTTTCTTATAGCTGGATGCAGTGGCTCAAGCCTGTAATCCCAGCATTTTGCGAGGCTGAGGTGAGAGGATTGCCTGATTCCAGGGGTTTGAGACCGGCATGGGCAACTTGGTGAGATCTCATCTCTACAATAAATCAAAACATTAGCCAGGCATGGTAGCGTGCGCCTCAGCTACTTGGAGGGCTGAGGTGGAAGAATCGCCTGAGCCCAGCAGGTCAAGGCTACAGTGACCCTGAGCGTGCTGCTGCACTCCAGCCTGGGTGACAGAGTGAAAAAACCCCCCAAAAACAAAAACTTTCTTATTAAGGTATTTATGATAACAAACTACACAAAACTTAATTGTTCAGTTCAATGAATTTTTGTATATGTAAATATCTATGTAAGTTAGATGATTGCATCATTGTGTGAACATCATAGAATGTACTTACACAAATCTAAATGCCATAGCCCACTACACACCCAGGCTATCTGGCATGGCCTATGGCTCCTAGGCTACAAACCTGTATAGCATGTTACTGTACTGAATACAATTGTGACACAATGGTAAGTATTTGTGCATCTAAACATAGAAAAGGTACAATAAAAGTATAGTATGGCAATCTTATGGGACCACTGCCGCATAAGTGGTACATCATTGACTGAAATGTCATTATGCTGCACATGCCTGCAGTAAAGCTTCTTTTGAGTATAGACAAAGAACTGAAATTGCTGGGTTTTAAGATATGTGAATACCTAATTCTTCAAGATGACAAATTGTTTTCCAAAGTGGTTTGACCAATCTACATTCCCAGCAGCAATATGTAAGAGATCCCATTGATCCACATCTTTTCTAATACTTGGTATTGTCAGATTTTTTGATTTTTACCAGTTAAATTAGTGTAAACTAATGTTTCTTTTCTTTTTTTTTTTTTTTTTTTTTTTTTTTTAGACTCTCACTCTGTCACCCAAGCTGGAGTGCAGTGGCACACTGCTCAAGGCCACCGCAGTCTCAACCGGCTGGGTTCAGGCAATCCTTCCGCCTCGACTTCTCAAGTAACTGGAACAACAGGCACACTCCACCATGCCTGGCTAATTTTTGTGACTTATTATAGAGACGAAGTCTCACCAGGTTGCCCAGGTTGGTCTCAAACTCCCGGGCTCAGGCAATCCTCTCACCTCAGCCTCCCAAAGTGCTAGGATTACAGGTTGAGCCACCACACCCAGCCAAATCAATGTATTTTACCATGGTCTTGAGATTCCTGGTTATTAGCAAGTTTAAATATTTGATATGTTTATTGGCAATATGTTTCCTTTTGGTATTCCTACTAAGTTTTCCCATTATTCTATTGAACTGTTATCTTTCTTATGGGCTTATAGGCATTCTTTACAGACCTTTATTACTTTCGTTCCAGGTACATATGTGCTGTTAATTTCTTCTCCCATTTAGTAGCCTGTCTTTTCATTTTCTTTACGGTGTCTGCCAATGAGCAGAAGTTATGGTTGTGATTTGTTTTGCATTTTTTTGTGCCTTAAGAAAATTAGAGTCAGAAAGATATCTGAGGAGGGGCATGAGGCCCAATTGGGTTAATTGGGTATATTCTGAGAAATGAAATCTCAGGATAAGAGTACAGGAATTGTAAAGGCTGAACATTTGCTGCTGGTGCCATGACAAAAAGCAGTCTACAGTTGTTGTTAAGAAATAAAACATGATCAGCCTGGGCAACTTGGCGAGACCTCGTCTCCACAATAAATGAAAAATTAGCCGGGCATGGTAGCGCGCGCCTGTAGTTGGCGCTACTTGGAAGGCAGAGACAGAAGGCTTGCCGGAACCCAACAGGTCGATGCTGGGGTGGCAGTGAGAGTGCCACTGCACTCCAGCCTAAGCGACAGAGTGAGACTGTGACTCAAAGGAAAAGAAAAGGAAAAGAAAAGAAAAGAAAAGAAATAAAACACCACAATCCAGCCACTTTACAAATCTCAGCTGCCCATAAGCGGCTTATAATCAAGGTCAAACATCAACCAACCAGAACTGCCTCATTTACATGGCAGGAACCCAAATGCATGAAAGGGATCCTAAAGCTCATCCTATGGAAGAGAGGGTCTTAATCCACTGAGAAGAACCTCAGGCCACTCCTACTCTGCGTCGGACACCCGTCATTCTTGTTGTCTTGTCTGTTGTTCCTTTTACGTGTCTTTTAATAAGTTTATCTTTCATAATTATAACTGTCTTGGAGGATGCTTTCTATCTGCTGTGCTGTGCCCAGCCTGCATGAGTGACAATATTCGCCTATATTTCAAAAATTAGTTTTCGTGTATTGTGTAAGATGGGCATATATCAGAAATCAACATAAGTCTTCTCTGTTTCTTGGCTTTTAAATCTGTGGTCAACGCCTAAATGTAATAAATACTACATTCACCTCCTAGGTAATATGAAGATCTTCATCCTACGTATGTTATTACTAGGGGTGTCAATTTTATTTCTCTTTAACTCCAAAAGGCACTTTTTTTTTGAGTTGGAGCCTCACTCTGTCATCCAGGCTGGAGTGCAGTGGCAGCTGGGCGCAGGTGATCCTTCCACCTCAGCCTTCCAAGTAGCTGAAACTATAGACGTGTGCTACCATGCCCAGCTAATTTTTTGATTTATTGTACAGATGAGGTCTCACCAAGTTGCCCAGGCTGGTCTCGAACTCCTGGACTCAGGTAGTCCTCTCACCTCGGCCTCCCAAAGTGCTGAGATTACAGGCTTGAGCCATCGTGCCTGACCCGAAATTCTTTTTTTTTTATTTTTAGTTTTTATTTTTATTTTTTTGAGTTGAAGTCTCACTCTGTTGCGCAGACTGGAGTGCAGTGGCCGCTCCTGGCCACCGCATCCTCGACCTGCTGGGCTCCGGCGATCCTTCCACCTCAGTCTTCCAAGTAGCTGGAACTACAGGTGTGCGCTATCACACCTGGCTCATTTTGATTTATTGTAGAGATGCAGTCTTGCCAAGTTGCCCAGGCAGGTCTCAAACCCGCGGGCTCAGGCAGTCCACTCACCTCAGCCTCCCAAAGGCACGGATTACAGGCTGAGCCACCGAGCCCATATTTTTAGTTTTTGAGTCAGAGTCTCACTCTGTCACCCAGGCTGGAGTGCAGTGACTGACTCATGGCTGCTGCAGCCTCAACCTGTGGGACTCAGGCAATCCTGCCTCTGCCTTCCAAGTACTGGAACTACAGGCATGCACCAGAAGGCTCAGCTAATTTTTTTTTTTTTATTGTACAGACAAGGGCTCGCCTAATTTCCCAGGTCGGTCTTGAACACTTGGGCAGTCCTTCTTCTTCCACCTTTCAAGTAGCTGGTACTACAGGCATGTGCCACCATGCCTGGCTAATTTTTAATTTATTGTAGAGACGAGGTCTCCTTAAGTTTCCCAGGCTGGTCTCGAACCCCTGGGCTCAGGTAATCTTCTTGTCTCTGTTTCCCAGAGTGCTGGGATTACAGGCATGAGCCACCACATCCAGTTCTTCCATGTCTTTTAACCTTTCTTTCTCATTTCCTATACCTGTGTCTCTGAGTTGCAATCTGGATACTTTCTTTTTTTTTGAGTCAGAGTCTCACTCTATTGCCCAGACTGGAGTGCATGCTCACTGCCACTGCAGCCTCAACCTACTGGGTTCAGGTAATCCTTCTGCTTCAGCCCTCCAAGTAGCTGAAACTACAGGTGTGCGCCACCACATTCAGCTAATTTTTTCTTAATTTATTGTAGAGATGAGGTCTCTCCATGTTGCCCAGGTTGGTCTTGAACCTGTGGGCTCAGGCAATTCTTTCGCCTCCACCTCCCAAAGTGCTGGGATTACAGATGTGAGTTACCACACCCAGTCTAATTTTTGATTTATTGTAGAGAAGAGGTCTCACCAAGTTTTTGCCCAGGCTGGTCTTGAACCCCTGGGTTCAGGCAATCCTCTTGTTTCTGCCTCCCAAAGTGCTGGGATTACACGTGTAAACCACCACGCCAAAACTGCATACCTTTTATTTTTTTCCCCAGTTATCTCTAAGTCTCTAGATCTGGATAATTTCTTCTGAACTATCTAGTTCACTAATTCCAATCATCTAATTTGCTGTTAAACTTATCCATGGTGTTTTTGATTTCAATTAGTGTGTTTCTTCTTTTCTAAAAGATCAATTTACTTCTTTCTTAATGCTTTTAGAAAAATTTTATAGATTTTTTCCCTGATTGTGATTGGGATCTCCTCCCTCCCTTCCCTGCTCTCTTCAGTGCCAACACTGCTTTCTCTGTGGTGCCCTGGTAGGGCAGGGACTTCTCATTCACTCTTATCCTGATGTGGTAGTCAAGAGGTCCTAACTTTATGAGATACTTTAGGGCAGTATGAGAGAGAGGCAAGAAAATGACTTAAAATCACTGTCAAATATATCTGCATACTGCCATGTCTGCCGCCTTCTTCCTTGGGTTACAGCCCCTTCTCTACAGACAATTTACAATAGCCTGCAGTCTCTTCAGGTTTTCCTTGGAGATTTTAGTGTGTTAGTTCCTCACATCTATCTGGGCTTCCTTCTTTCTGTTGTGGTCTCTCCAAGGTTGATCTCAGGGAGGGAGCCAGCAGCCTGTGGCTGGCTATCTTGCTTCAGAATCTTTGTACAGAAAGTGTTTGCACTATTGGATATTATCATCAGGTTTATGGGATCAAAGACAGGATTTGAGAGATGTTTCTTACTTATCCGGGGGAGGCAGATTTCTTCTTGGGACATTCTTTTAATCTGTTGCTTTGTATTTCCTTTTTCATCCAGCGCTCTGGCTGATGCAGCCATGGGGAAGAAAGTCCTGCACATTCCCTACAGAGATTCTGTTCTGACCAAACTGCTCCAGTCAGCTCTTGGTGGGAACAGCAGAACTGCTTTGGTAAAATGCCTTTCTTACAGTGTTTTAGATGGGTTCAGCTATTATAACTATTGTTATTATTGATATTGCCATTTTGATTATTCTCAGTGTAGCCCTGTAATATAGTACTTTGCATCAATGTGCACATTCTTACATATTATCTCATGACTCCTGGTGCTCTATTCAAATAATCTTTCTATATTACTGACCTTTTTATTTATTCTTTTCTGTAGTTTACATGTTCTCTACAAGGAACATATATTACTTTTACTGTCAGAGAAAAAAACAATCCACTAGGCCAGGCACGGTGGCTCAGTTTGTAATCCCAGCACTTTGGGAGGCCGAAGTGAGAGGATTTCCTGAGCCCCGGGGTTCGAGACCAGCCTGGGCAACTTGGTGAGACCTTGTCTCTACAATAAATCAAAAAATTAACCATGCGTGCCTGTTGTTCGAACTACTTGGAAGACTGAGGCGGAAGGCACATAAGATGCCTCTGAACCTTAGACTACAAAATTAAATCTAACTGGTCTTAGCAGATGTGTATAAAGTCTCTTGAGACCCATAGGATGATATCTAAATTTCTGAGACTTGACAAGGACTGACTGAAGGCATTATAATGTTTTAACAAAAAAATGTGCTGGGGAGGAACCTGGGGTGCTCACTGGTCATCTCAGGAAGCAAAGAGATCAGAGAATCTGCACTACCAACAGGCAAGCTCTAAGGCTCTATGGTACCAATCCCAGTTTCAACACAAACATCTTATAACCTCATTTTCTTCATTTCTAAAATGGAGATAATAACAATATCCACCTGAAAATACTGTCACAAAGGTTAAGGGAGGCGATATAAAGGAACACATTTTACAAGCTGTAAAAGTCAGCAAATGTAAATAATTATTCCCCACGCTCTCAATGCTCTGGATCACGGGCCTGCAGGCCCACAGCTTATAAGCTGCCATGTGGCAGTTAGTACCTCGCCTCCCTGCTCAGCCTCAGTGACCCTGTCTGCCTCTAAGTCAGCAAAACACTTGCTTCTGAATTCTGGAACAATTAATCCAAAGTCAACAGTCAGACTTGAAATACACGTGGCTGCCCTGGAATGAGCAAATGTTATGGGTCCCTGCAATGCTAACATTCAACTGTCATTCAAGTCCCTGAGAAAAATCCACTGAGGAATTCAGTCCTGAGGGCAGTTAGTCCTGAGGTTAGCAGCACAGGTATTAGAGTTAGTCGGGGGTGGGTCCAAGCCCCAGCTCAACAAATTATTATCTTGGGCATATTATATTACCTTGGGCATATTATTTTCCTTTACACCTGGTTTTCTAAGTTGTAAAGATTGAACAAAACTGTAAATTACAAGATGCAAAACTGTCCTGTGAATATTAACTGTTTTAATAACAACAAAAACTCCTATGTAACAGAATCTGAAAGGCATGTTTTTACAGATAGCAGCCATAAGTCCAGCTGACATCTGCTATGAGGAAACTCTATCAACACTAAGATACGCTGAAAGGTATGTTTATGAGTGTTTAGTATCCATATTGGTTCTAAACCTGGCAAACTCTCCTAGTCATTTTTTTTTTTTTTTTTTTGAGTAGGAGTCTCACTCTGTCGTCCAGGCTGGAGTGTGGTGGCACGCTCATGGTCACTGCAGCCTTGACCTGCTGGGCTCAGGCGATCCTTCCCCTTGGCCTCCCAAGTAGCTGGAACCACAGGCATGTGCCACCATGCCCGGCTAATTTTTTGATTTATTGTAGAGATGAGTTCTTACAAGTTGCCCAGGCTGGTCTTAAACCCCCAGGCTCGGGCAATTCTCTCACCTCTACTCCCCAAAGAGCTGGGATTATAGGCATGAGCCACCGCACTCAACTCTCCTAGTACTTTTATATGTGATAGGTTGGTGCTTTGGGAGGGGGCCCAGGAGAAGGAGAATAAAATACTCTGTGAGGGGAATGAAAGGAAATAAAACAAGTAAGAGGAGAAAGAACTGGAGACTCGACCCCCCAGAGGGTCACTCTGCCACTCGGGTTTTGGATCTGAGCGTTCCATGGTCACTCAGGTTCTGTGGGCTCCAGTGGATGAGAGAGACATTGCTGCCAATCCTGATGTGATTAGCGATCTCTCTGTATTTTCCTGCTAAATAGCATGACCGCCACATGGGGCCTTTTGTCACATGGGGCCTGGGTAGAGAGTAGCCAGGCCAGAGTTTTTTGTGCTAATAATAAACATAGAAGAGCTATGCAAGAGACCACTCCTCCGTCAGAACCGTTGGGTTTTGTTCAGGATATTTTGGCTCCAGATCAGCCCTCCATTGTGTTGGTTACCTCATACGACAGATTATACTCTGTAGAGGCAGCTGGAAAGTCATCGGTGTCTTCTCACCAGGAAGGGGCTGTCATTGTCAGGCTCCTTCCTGTCCACTCTCTCACAGTTAGCACTGGCAGGAGGCTGTCGCTGAGTCATGTCCCTGCTCCAGGCAGGCCTCCGGAGCTCATTTCAAGTCTGCTTCTCCTGTACCCTCTAAGAAAGGGCAAGGTGTGGGGAGAGGAGAGACTGGCCACAGTAGGAACTCTGCCACATGCTGCCTGGCTCCTCCCTACCAGAAGCAAGGCCGACCTTGGGACTCCACCATTGAGCTCTCCCATGGAGTCTAGACGGGAGCTTGGATGTCTCAGACCTGTGTGCTGGGCAGTTGGAGCTGGCATGTGAGATGAAACTTATTTGCCAGCCCTAATATGTCCCTTGCCAGGTCTACGGGCTTCCAGGTCAGATGACTGTGGCCCCAGCAGCCGTGTGGCCGTTGGCAAGATGCTGAACCTCAGACACTGAAGGGGGTGTCCTCACTCATAGCATTGGAGTGGGGACCATGGGAAGTCACAGGTGGACTGTTCCCGGCAAAGTTCTGCCTGGCATATGGATGATGCTGAGAAACTATGGCTATGATTATGCCACAAAGTAACTGCTTGCCTCCCCCTCTTTCCTCGGGCCTTTTAGCAGAGGAGCCCTTGCATGCTCGTGACAAACACGCTTCTCATTCTTCACTGCACAGCCTCAATATCATTCACGCCATCAGACATTTTCTTCTGGCATCTGTGACACAACCTTAGATCTTAGGTCGAATTTTGACTTTAGCAGTTATCTAGAATGTTCATTCTCTCCCTGCTTATCAATTGCAAATATGTTGCTAGTGGTTTTTACAAGAGAAAGATGTGTGATGCAGAAGAAAGAGAAAAATGGTACCCACAGCCTGTGTGACTTGGGGCCAACCTTTTAATGCTGAGTCTATCTTCCCTGTGTAAAACGAAAAGCAGTAAGGTTGCTAGACTTAGCAAATAAAAAATACTAAGTGCTCAGTTAAATATGAATTTCCAATTAAAAAACAAGTGATGCTTTAGTATAAGTATGTCCCATGCAATATTTGGGGGCATCCCATGTTTTCTCTGATGACGCTAGCAGGGAACAGCAGCAATGGCGACTGAACAGATGCTTGCATTAGCCAGGGCAGTCCAATTGGCTGAGTGTGTTCACGCCGCAGGACACGTCAGGTGCCAAGTCCTCACCTTGGCTGAGCTGCACATGTTCATTTGAACCGTGCAGGTTACCAGTCACTTTGGTCTGAATGATTTCACGAAACTGGACATGGTGAATTTGAGTCACCCAGGGTAAAGTGCTCCCACTTGACTGAGACCTGAGCACACCCTGTTACCTGCCCAGTGCTCTCAGGGTGCTTCTCCAACTGTGGGTGGGGGCCCAGGCTTGAGGGTGTGTCCATCTTTGCACATAAAAGGGCTAAAAAGATCCGGAACAAGGCGGTGGTCAATACCTGGACACTGATGAGGGAGTCGCGAGCAGAGAACAGCAAGCTGCTGCTCAGATGTGGAAACTACAGGATGGCAGGTAAACTGAAACAGGAGTCAATGCTGAGTCCAAGACTGGACCCGGAGAAGAGGTCTGATCTGGCTGAAGCCCTGGCTGGGTTTGGAGGGATGGAGGCGTCTGGGGGAGGAGCCCCTGGGTTAGATTCTGAGGGGATCCCTGGGCAGGCTTGGGTGCAGGTGGAGGCGCTTGGGTTTTGTTCAGGATATTTTGGCTCCATCTTTTAAAAACTCTATTTTGAGATCAATGTAAACTCACTTGCAGTTGTAAGAAATCATGGCCCTGCTCTTTTTAAATGGTCATTTTAGTTTCTTTTTTTATTACTGTGTTTTGTTTTTGAGTCGGAGTCTCACTCTATTGCCCAAGCTGGAGTGCAGTGGCACCCTCATGACCACTGCAGCCTTGGCTGCCTGGACTCAGGTGATCCTACCACTTCAGCCTTCCAAGTAGCTGGAAACACAGGTGCTCCTCTCCACACCCAGCGATTATTATTATTATTATTATTATTCTGGTTGATTGTAGAGACAAGGTCTTGCCAAGTTGCCCAGGGTGATCTTGAACCCCAGGGCTCAGGCAATCCTCTCACCTCCGTCCCCCAAAGTGCTGGGATTACAGGCAAGAGCCCACCATGCCTGGCTTTATTGCCGTTTTTATTTCGAGGCCATTGTTTGTACCAGGACTACTTTTTTCCTTACTGGATTTGGACGTGGCCATTTGACTTTTATCCTGCTGAGGACTTCATGAGGTGAAGTGACGTTGGAGGCCCAGGAGGCCTCAGCAACCTCCTCCTCTAAGACACGCCCAACGCTGGCTGGGCCTCAGAGTCGTCTGTGACTGGGCTCCACCCAGACCAAGTCAATCAGAATCACGGGCAGCAAGCGTATGAAAGTTCCCCAGGTGCTTCTAATGTGCAATTTTATCAAGAGCCACTCACTGCTTTAGGTTAAGCCCTCAGATTTCAGTTTGCATAAAAATATATATTATTTTGTGCCCATTAATTATTTAAAATGAGGATTAAAAAAAAGTAAAATATAAAACTGTTGTCAGCCAGGCGTGGTAGCGCGTGCCTGTAATTCTGGCTACTCAGAAGGCTGAGGTGGAAGGATCGCCAGAGCCCAGCAGGTCGAGGCTGCGGTGGCCGGAAGTGGCCACTGCACTCCAGTCTGGGCGACAGAGTGAGACTCCAACTCAAAAAAAAAAAGAAAAAACCGTTGAAGTAAAATTGGTGAGAGTATTCAACATCAAAACAGCAGTATCAAGAGGCCCAAACCTCTTGTGCTCGGGGCTCTGTAACAGCCGCCATCCTGCTCCTGGTTCCCCACCCTCAGCAGGCTCCCTCATCCCAGGGGGGCTTCCTGCACCTCCCTTTCCCATCCATTACACTAGGCTACCTCAACCGATGGCTGGCTCAGACACCCTGACACCATGAAACATCCCTGGGTATCACGACCTGACTCACTGAGGCTTCAGCCTCAACAAAGATCTTCCTAAATCACAGTCAGTGCACGTGGCCGGCCCAGGCATGACTCTGCTTGTCACAGATCTCTGTACCATCAAAACCTGGATATGTCGCGTGTTGACCTATGTGGAGCATACAGTTCCCACTGTTCACAAGCACAGGCACTGACTATATAAAAAACAACATAAGCCTATAGAGTCCTCCAGAATTTCCTGGCCTTGTGGGACTTCTCGATGGTGATGGTACAACATGAAACACTCTCACGTGCCTACATAAACAAATAAAAATAGAGCACTGAGCTTCATGCCTCCCATAAGGGACCTTCTTGAATTAGAAAAGGGTACCACTCTTCGTAGGACTTACCAGCAGAGCTCTTTTTTTTTTTTGAGTTGGAGTCTCATTCGGTCGCCCAGACTGGAGTGCGGTGGTCGCTCCCAGCCACAGCAGCCTCGCTTGCTGGGCTCTGGCGATCCTCTGCCTCAGCCTTCTGAGTAGCCAGAATTACAGGCATGCGCTGCCACGCCCGGCTGATTTTTTGATTTATTGTAGAGATGAGGTCTTGCTGCCCAGACGGGTCTCGAACCCGCGGGCTCAGGCAATCCACTCACCTCAGCCTCCCAAAGGCGCGGAATTACAGGCTGAGCCACAGAGCCCGGCTAGCAGAGCTCTTTTTCACACATAAGTGCAGTTCAACTTCCCACTCTTGCTGAGATCCCACATTTTGACTGAGAACTGAGTTGATATTTATTGTAATTACGTCATGCCTCGCCTCTGAGGCTACAGACCCGTTGCTTAAAATACCTCCCTCCTTCCAGAGCAGTCGGCCTTTCTCCTGGCAGAACATGAGCTCGGGACTCAAGCTAATCAGGTGACCTGGGCACACCTGCTGGAGCAGGCCCAGAAAGAATGGGAGCAGCAGTATTCTGCTATTGCCCAGGTAAGCTCCACTCCCTCTGCCCGTAGAGGCTGACCATCAGGATAGGGCACCTGCCATCAGGCCCCTGAGTGTGGAGAGATTTTTTTCAGTGAATGTGTAATCGGTGACATGTGACCTAAGACTTACAATGTTATTGGCAGAGCTGGAGAGTGAATGGCAGGGCATGAGAGGTAGGGAAACAGAGTGGCTTTGGTGCACATTCATGAGTGAGACTGAGGAGGGGATTCAAGGCTGTTGGTAATTAGAATTTGGAAGAATTTGAGGGATGTGAGTTATCTTCTAGGGACTGTATGGAGTGACCCAAGCCATGCTGTCTTACCTGGCATTCACTGCCAATATCAGATCATAAAAGGGTTGGGATGTGAATTTCATCCATGGGTGAGGGAGATGACCTCTTTGCCTCTCCACATCCACAAAGCCCTGGGCAAATCCCAAAGTAGCGGGCCAGACCCAGAACACTTGGGAGTGGTGGATCCTGGAAGACTCATGAAGCCTAGACTAGGCCTAAAGTGGTGGAGTGGAGCGAAGGGGGAGTTTGCGGCATCAGTTGGCCAGATGATTAGGGATGGTTCTAAGGTATGAGCATCACAGGGCACCGCAGAAGTGCTATTAAAGACACATCCTTTGTAAGGAGTGACTGGGTTTGTGACTCTTGTCTGCAAAGGTCAAGAAGGGTCACGGTGCAGAAATACAGGATTTTGTGTTCTGTATGAACTGTAAGAATTGGAGGAATTTTTGTCCTCTTTATTAGAAAATAAGTCACAATTTAAGTCTTCCTCATGCCTGCAGAACTTATTCCAGTTGTGTTTGACCATCAATTCTCTATAAGCACTATACCAGTCAGTCTTTGTGCTAAAGAATGAAATGCATTGAGGTAATCAGGAGAGCGCTCATGCTACATGCCACTTTTTGCCACCAACACCTGATTCTCAACTACTAGCCACCAGGACTTAGAAGAACAAGAGGTTTCATGGAGACCCAGGAAGGGCTGCTCAGAAGGGACATCTGGATAGCTGAGGAGCACGGGGTTGAGGGACTGTCTGTGCCTCGGAACCATCCCACTCAGATGTACTCAGGCTCCTGACAGCTGGCCCACCTGAGGACCCCACCCCTGCCATCTGATGTCTCCAGCCCCACTCGGCCTTCCTCCTTTACCAGGTGGTTTGACAAGGTGCACAGAGACCTGACTTTGGTGACAAGTGGACAGGAAAGAAGCACCGCTCTCCTGAGTGGGCTGGCCCTGTCTGGTGATGTGAACCTTCCCTGTTTCTCCTCCAGGAGCGGCAGATGACGAAGACCTTCCCTCACCTTCTGAACATCAATGAGGACCCGCAGCTCACTGGGGTCCTCAAGTATTTCATTCAAGCCGGTACTCATCTCTCCTGACCTGCTCTGGTCCTGTTCAAGGGTTCTTGCCCCATGGGCATGTTTCCTTTCTTTCTTTCTTTCATTTTTTTGAAAATTTTTTAATGTGGTAAAATATACATGACAAAACTCACAATTTTTAAGAGTATGGTTCAGTGGTACTAAGATGCCACCCTCTCCAGAACCTTGTCATCACTCCAAACTGAAATTCTGCACCTTTAAACACTAACTGCCCTTCCCTCCTCCTGCCAGTCCCTGGCAACCACTGTTCTACCTTCTGTCTCTATGCATTTGACAATTCTAGGTACTTCATATAAGTGGACTCATATAGTATTTGTCCTTCTGCATCTGCCTTATTTCACTTAGCATAATGTCTCCAAGTTTCATCTCTATTGTAGCATGCATCAGAATTTCCTTCCTTTTTAAGGCTAAAAAATGTATTTCATTGTATGTATGGATCACATTACTATTATTCACACATAGTTCTTATTACCATATTTTTGTTTAGTGGTTTCTACGGAGGGACTCACTCATTGAAATATCTTCTAGCCCTAAATGAGTGCTGAATATGTTAGAATATAGTGCCCAGATTTGTGGGATCCCTTGATTTTCCCCTCCCTGGCCTCTATGCACAACCCAGACAGATGAGGGCTCCATGCAGGATAGCCAGGCCACCCGGAAGCTGGTAAGAATACTCTCTATACTCCACAGAATCAGTCACTATTCAGAAACAGAAACAGAGCTTCAAAGGCTAGAACTTTTCCTGGGGTCAGTCTTCAGTGTGTCTCCTAATGTCCAGACCTAATGGTTTCTTCCCCCAGAATATCTGTGAAGGTGGGAACTTTAAAAAAAATTAGAAATCTCACGCCCAAAGGCAGAAAGTAAGACATCCATAAAGTCATGCTCAAGTGTCATTATGATTAAAAAAAAAATCCCAGCTGGAGAAACTTCATGTGATCCCACTGTATAGAAAATGTTACTTCCAAAATATCAGCCATGTTAACTTAAGGTCAAATCCTGAAAATGTTGAAAATAAGTTACCCTAATTCTTTTCAGGTTCATGCGATGCTGGTCAGGCTGCTTCAAATGCTATCATTATTCAAGGTTTGGGGTAAGTTTCTGTGAATCAGCATCTTTGTCCAACACTAGAGAATGATGACTCCTTAATCTGTCTGGTCTGGTCATGGCAGGCCAGGCCACAAAGCCTGCTGGGCAAGCAGGGACAAGGCATTTCCCAGGCCTTCCTCAGTCACCCTCTCACATGCTTACCTAAGAAAGCTGTGGGGAAGTCTTTTGTCCTCTGGTGGAAATTCAGTGTGCTGTGCTCAATTTGTTTCCTCAGCTCTAACCTCGGGAGAAAGGGAAAGTCAGTTTCTGGATTCTCTATGATAATTCCTCACAAACAGATGTAAATAGGTCTGGCCAGGAATGAAGAGAGTTGACAGAACAAGCCCACCAGGGTGACCCAAAGACAAAGTGCATTCTCAGGTCGTAGGGCTTAGAGTCCTCACCACCAGCTGGACTAACAGAAGGCCCAGACCTCTTCCCTAAGGACTCCCTCGGGAAACTCCTGCAGGAGCCTCTGTGAAACCCTATAGAGGATTTTATTTTATTTCATTTTATTTTTTGAGTACAGTGGCACACTCATGGCCACTGCAGCCTCAACCTGCTGGGCTCAGGCAATCCTTCCACTTTGGCCTCCCAAGTAGCTGGGACTACAGGTGCATGCCACCATGCCTGACTAATTTTTTGATTTATTGTAGAGACAAGATCTCGCCAAGTTGCCCAAGTTGGTCTCAAACCCCTGGGCTCAGGCAATCTTCTTGCCTCTGACTCCCAAAGTGCTGGGATTATAGGCGTGAGCCACCATTCCCAGCTAAAGTGGGTTTTATACAATTAATGATGCTCCCCAGCTCTGTGGCCCCTCCAAGCAGAGAGACCACTGCCGTAGGGTTTTCTCTCCAGTCAGCAGGTGCTAGCAGCCCCTTCAGAAAGACCAATCCTCCCCATACCTCAGCCGTCCCGAGTCAAAGCCCACAGGCCCTCATGGGAGGGTGAAGGGGCTGTGCTGAACGAAGGGCCAGCTGACACGGCCTCACCCTGCACTACTGGCCTCCTTCTCTGGCCTTCTTTTTCCTCTCTCTTCCCAGACCACGTCCTTAGTCCAACACACAGGCCTGTAAATGGCTGGGCTCCAGTGACGAGCCAAGGTCAAAACATTTCCCACAGGATCTCTGGTCCCATGCAAACAAGGGATTTGGATGGACATGGGTCTCAACCTCCAGACCATTCTGTGATGGCCAGGGAGTCCAAGAACCTTCTAAAAACAGTTAAGAAGCCGGTCATTCAGGGTACACTCATGATGTCCAGGGACAGCCAGTGTGACACTTCTGACACCAAATCTTGTAATATAATACAATATTATACAATATCTGAATTTGTACAGATAAAGCCCAGAAACAGATCTAAGCTTACCTGTATTACGGAAGGCTCATTATGAAGTGACCCTCCAAGTGTCTCTTCTAAGGCATCTTTGCTGTCATTCCCCCTCTACCCCATCCCACTGGTTTGAGGTTTTTTTTTTTTTTTTTTGAGTTGGAGTCTCACTCTGTCACCCATGCTGGAGTGTAGTGGCAGCTCATGGCCACTGCAGCCTCGACCTGGGCTCAGGCAATCCTTCTGCCTCATCCTACCAAGTCGCTGGAACTATAGGCACACACCACCACACCCGATTAATTTGTTGATTTATTGTAGAGATAAGGTCTCGCCAAGGTCCCCAGACTGGTCTCGAACCCCTGGGCTCAGGCAATCTTCTTGCCTCCCCTTCCCAAATGGCTTGAGCTTTTGAGGACTCTGGCTGCTGTCTCTGCTCGGCCTCCCCTCCTCGCAGCTGTAGGCACTCAGCTGAGGCTTGTTCTATGAATGAAACAGTTGCTTTGTTGTCTCCCAACTTCTGCACTCTCTAGGTGCAGGGTCCTTTTGCATCCACCACTGTCTCCACTTGCCATGAGCCACAGACACAAGGCCTCCACAGATGCTTCCTGCGGTTCTTCAGCAGCTACAGGTCTTGCTGTGCAAACAAGAAAGCTCAACCTAAACTGTTCACTAAGCTTGTAATTTATTGGGTGACTTAGACAAACTTTTGTCTTCTTAGAATTTCAGACAAACATGCTTCTTTCACAAATTCTGATGGTAAAGTGACAGTAGTTCCACACAGCAAATGCAAGGTTGTCGTTAACGGGGTGCCCATCACAACCAGGACAAGGTTGCAGCATTTGGTAAGCTTTCCTGCCGGGCCACACAGGATTTCCTAGGTCCTGCCCAAGAGGGAGGAGGGGAGGCTGGTATGAGGTATCCGCATCACTGTTGGCCATGGCGAGGGCTGGGCAGAGCCGGGCGCTCCCACCTGGCTCCCTTGCTACAGCGCCATGGTAACGACATGCTGGAGTGACAGACCTGCTCTCAACTTGCTTTGTGTTCTTGGGCAAGTCACTTCACATCTCTGATCTCACTTATAAAACAAGAAGGACTGAGCTAGATGCTTTCCAAGATCCCTCCACCCTAGTTTTCATGACATTTTAGATGTTGTTAAAAGCCTGTGGTTGAGAGGGGCAGTGCAGCATCTTGCAAACGTTGGTCTCTGTTTCTGTCCTCTCAGCCGCTTCCTGTGGCTCCCTGCAGCCCTTTCAGCTCTCCAGCTCACCCTCCGCACAATGGCCAGAGCCTTTCGAAAAGGCAGATTGGACTTGGCCACTCTCTTCAGTGACCTCCCCTTGGGCCACCCGTGTGAGCTGCCCCTGTTCTCAGCCTCCTCCAGCCTCCCTGTCTCTTGTCACACTGCCCTTCTTTGAGTTGTTCAGCAGTAACTGTCTCTGCCTTACCAAAACTTACCACACATAAGGTCTCAACGTAAACATCACACCTTCCAAGAGGACGTCTCCGGTCCCCAGTCTGAGTTAGGTTCCTGTGTACTCTGCTGGCTCCCATGCTTTTTCCAAGGTGTGTTACATGGTCGCCCTGAAAATCCTTGATGGGGAGGAACTAACTCTGTTTGGTCCCCATGGATTCCCCAGCACCTGAGGTGTGTGGTATGAGGCACCCAGAAGCCAGATGCCACCTGCCCCCTTCATGGGCGGGCCTCTTCCCTGTTTGAGGGGTTCTGGAGGGAAGGACATTTCTCAGATCCTGTAACCCAGCTGGGCCAGGCACAGGGCCTGGGGGCCCCGGGGCAGGCTGGCCTCATCCTCTCTGCCCGGGAGTCAGGAGAGGGCAGCATCCTCCCTGAGCCACTGTCTTCTCCCCAGGACCGCATTTTTTTTGGATCCAACAGCGCCTACCTCTATATGGGGTTTCCTGCAGAGCGAGGCAGTGAGGACTTGAGCAGGTTTGATTATGAGTTTTTCCAGATGGAGAGAGCGGCTGCAGAAGGAGTTAGTGTGGACAAACTTGGTGAGTGGCCCTGGGCCAACTTCTGGCATCTTCTGTGTGCTGATCTGAAAGCAGTCTGACTGCTTTCACTATGTGCTCTCTGCTTTCTTTAAGAAAATAATCTTCAGTTGTGTCAAGGTACCATGTTTAGAAATTAAAATATAATTTCCATAGAGTGAGTACATGTCAAAAGTTTAACTCACCAAACTGTTTCCCTCTTGAATGAGGATAAAGATGGTTCAAAGGAGAATAGAAGAGACTGCTATATATAGCAAATAGGAAAGAATGCTGAAGTAAGGTTGCTGAGTTACATAAAACTAATGAATGGCCCTCAGTTCCCCCCTCCCTGAATCATGGGCTGCCTGGACCTACAGAATCTGCAGCCCCACATCTAGAGATGCTGACCGGAAGCCTGCTCTGGGCTGGAGATACAATAAGAAGAAAAGTCCAGGCCCTGGCCTAGAAGATCTTACAGCCCTAGGCTTCTGAGTCAAAGATCTCCCATCTCCTCTCAATCCATCCATACCCCTCAGCAATAAACTTGGACTCCTTGTAGGTAAGAGCTTGCAGAAGCTCTGACAGCTGCCTGCCTGCCTCTCCCCTGCCTCTGGTGGGGACTCTAGCGCACCTGCCATCATCTCCTCTCCCCAGGCCCGCTCTACCACGCTCAGGGTGGCTCCCCCAGAGTCCAGGTGAGGCTGGGCCCACTGAGCTCCCTGTGATGTGCTGGCTTCCATAGGGGCACCTACAGTTTGCTCAGCACACGGACTTTGCCTGAACTCGTCTTAATAAAACTGTGGGTGGACAGCAGTGAAATACACCTGCATGTGCTCAAAAGAGTCCATCCCTCTTCCCTACACCAAAGTGCTCTCAGAATTTTAGTAAAATCAGCAGACTTGAAATTCACCTCCTTGCTCTTCTTCTGCTGAAGTTCCAGACCAAAAACAAACCCACAAGACCGCAGTACCAAGCCTGGATAACCCACCTATTCATCTACTGATTCACAGCAGTTGACTGTACCACTGCCCTCCCGGCCCCGGGCTGGTGGCACAATGAGGCTGAACAAGCCCCAGACCCCAGCTCAGATCCTAGTGGGGACTTGAGTTCTCAACAAGGCAGCAGCTGTGGGCGCAGTTTGGGGCCAAACAGGGCCAAGGACATGTGTGTATGCACAGGCCAGGATCCTGACAAGGGGTATGCCAACCCGGGTCTGGGAGGAGTGTTGATCCTCCCATAATCTCTATGACCCCTCCTCCAAGCCACCCCAAATGTAAAAGAAGAACAGGTGGCTTGTGTGCTGGCAGCAGTTTCAGGATACACCCCCAGTCCTTCCTTTAGCCAGCCAGATTTCACTGGCCCCACCTCCCTACCTGGAGCCACCTTGGGTGAAGGATCCTGAGATCAAGAATGGGAACTGGAGACAGAAAGCCCCTGCATGCTGTGGCCAAGACTCACGGGTTGTGATGAGCAACCACTGAAGAAGCCAGGCAGTATTGTTTCTCCCCATTAGTTTTCTTTTTTTAGTCACTTGCTGTGATTTTAAAATGCAGATATTTGATAAACAACGGAATGAATGGATGAACAAATAAACATCAATTTATTCATGGCAGGGCAAATGACTGACTCATCTCCATTCTGATTGCTGCCAGGAGCTGCAAACAGTGGAGATGGCAAGGCAGACCCCAGTGTCCTGGCTGTGTTTCAGGACTACATCAAACTGATGCCGCTGGTAGCAGAAGCAAATCAAATGAGTGAAGAGCTGAAGAAGGTAACTTATCCAGAGCCAGGAAACGGTATAATTTCAAGTACAGAAAGGACCTCAAGGCCTTTCCCAAGGTCTTGCAGCAAGCTAGGAACAGACTTACACTAATCTAGGCCTGCCCAGCCTAGCCGCAAGCACCATTCCTTCCACCACTGGCCTAAGGGCCACCAGGACCCCCAGCCAACACTTGCTGGCCATAACCACACCTTCCTGCTATGCCACAGAGATGACTCGGGCTGGGATTAGCTCCCTAGTGACACAGGATCCCAATCAGCAGGAACCTTGTAAGAGATGTAATCAGGCCAGGCACAGTGGCTCAAGCCTATAATTCCAGCACTTTGGGAGGCCAAGGTGAGAGAATTGCCTGAGCCCACGGGTTCAAGACCAACCTGGGCAACTTGGCGAGACCTCACCTCTACAATAAATAAAAATATTAACCAGGCATGGTAGCATGCACCTGTAGTTCCAGCTACTTGGAAGGCTGAAGCAGAAGGATCACCTGAGCCCAGCAGATCGTGGCTGCGGTGACCGTGGGTGTGCCACTGCACTGTTGCCTGGGCGACAGAGTAAGACTCCAACTCCAAAAAAAAAACAAACAGAGAGATGTAATCATTTTGGTTGGAACTACAAGTCTTAGTTCCAGGATATAATGGAAAAATTCTGGTGCTATGTCATTATCTTGATGGAAAGTCCTAGGGGCAAGTGTTGAGCCATCTTCTTTTAGAAAGTCTGACTCATTTATCTGCTTTTAAAAAGGCTGAGTCAGGGGAGGATGAAAAAGAACTTGCAAAGGTGCTATGGGATGATACGTGTAGGGTTAATGAGAAGTGTTTCTTCTACCAGGAGCTGAAAATGGAATTGAAAGTGAAGAATTTAGCATCATCGGATTCTAGGGGCTATGACCTACAGAAGGAGGTCATGGTGAAGGTGACCAACCAAAGGACTCACGAGGTGAGGCTGCATCTGTGGGTGAGTGTGACGCTCCATAAGGGGTTTCTGGGGAGCTTCCTGGGGACACATGTTATTTTTACCAGCTGCAGCCTCTGGAGACCCAGTAAAGGGGAAAAGTTTATTCCCAGTAGGAGCTGGGTGACAGACTCCAGGGAGAGGAGGCCCCTCTTCTCTGTTCCCTCCTGGGTCCTCTCCCATACGGTGCCAGTTCCTGGGTTTTTTCCTAGCCACCTGCACAAAGCATTTTCTGTTCATGTTTAACGTGACTCAGAGGCTTCAGTGCTGGAAGGAGTTTGATAATTTATCCAACTGGCAATGGTGTCTGTCCGTGTGTGTGTGTGCATGCACATATGAGAGCGCTGCTCTTCTGAAGCAATGAGAAAATCCACCAGTCATTTGACCTTGCTCACTCTCAGGAAGGGCCATTTGAAGAACTTTAAGACTCTGTTTCCTCCACTGCCTTTAGAGGAGGAAATAGAAAATAAAGGCCTCCCTTCAGTATGCCATGCCTCTGGAGCAGCCCTTGAACTTCTGGTTCCAACATGCTCACCCTTGCCTCTAATCCTGTGGTGGACTTCGTGGGCTGCTTCCTCCAGGCATTCAGGACCTGAAGGCCATGGGTCACTTGATACCCTCATCGCCCCCACAGACCCCTGCAGTGAATGCCCAGGGAAGAAACCTGAGCAAGGATCCTTCTGGAACCTGACTCATCAGAGACCTTCTCCTTTCCTAGAAGCATGTTGGGTGCAGCCCTTGGGTTTCCTGTGAAACTCTCCACCCTGGGGAGTCAGCTTTGACCTCTAGCTGTGTTCCATGAGGGCTTGGGAGGGGAGCCCTCCATGTGTTTGTGCATTCCGTCTTTGTTTTTCCTGGCAAATACCATTAGGGCAAAGCAACTTTTGTGCTCCCAACATTCCATGTGACTTTCTTGGCCAGCTTCTCCCCAGAATTGGGTCTGGCAGTTTCCTATTGTCTTGTCAGACCTTGTTTTAATAAAATTTGTAATTAAAAAACCCCCTTTTTCCATTTATTCTGCATATTGTTTATTATAGTCTAAGATAATTTGGAAGATATTTTAGTGAGCCTTTTTAATTGTTGCTAGCAGAAGGGCTACCCTGAATAACACCTACACTCACACTCATGAGTGTGCCTGCCTGTCATCACCAGAAATAGAATGCAAGACAGTGTTTTACATTTATTGTGAAGTGAGTTGTGTGGGAGAGCTGAGGGCCTGGATCCATCCTGAGATGCTGTCATTCTCCTTCAACCCAGCATCCTGTCACAGGCACAGGTAGCTGTTTGACACACTGCTTTTGCATAAGCCAAACTGGGTTCTCTTTTAAGGGAGTTATGTGACAGTTTTATTTCTATTTTTCCTTTTTCTCATGCAGTGATGAATCTTATCAGTCATCTTCAAGGCAGTCCAGTTTTACATTTAAAAAATAAGATTAGCCGGGCTCGGTGGCTCAGCCTGTAATCCTGCGCCTTTGGGAGGCTGAGGTGAGTGGATTGCCTGAGCCCGCAGGTTTGAGACCCGCCTGGGCAGCAAGACCTCATCTCTACAATAAATAAAAAAATCAGCTGGGCGTGGTAGCGCATGCCTGTAATTCCAGCTACTTGGAAGGCTGAGGCGGAAGGATCGCCAGAGCCCATCAGGTTGAGACTGCGGTGACCAGGAGCGGCAACTGCACTCCAGTCTGGGCGACAGAGTGAGACTCCAACTCAAAAATAAATAAATAAATAAAAAATAAGATTAGTAGCCGGGCTTGGGGGCTCAGCCTGTAATCCCGCACCTTTGGGAGACTGAGGTGAGTGGATTGCCTGAGCCTGCAGGTTCGAGACCCACCTGGGTAACTTGGCGAGACCTCATCTCTACAATAAATCCAAAAAATCAGCCGGGTGTGGCAGCACATGCCTGTAATTCTGGTTACTCAGAAGGCTGAGGCAGAAGGATTGCCGGAGCCCAGCAGGTCGAGGCTGCGGTGGCCAGGAGTGGCCACTGCACTCCAGTCTGGGCGACAGAGTGAGACTCCAACTCAAAAAATAAAATAAAATAAAAAATAAGATTGTAACAATGACATTTCCTCAAATGAAGCTCCACCGTCCTCTGGAGGCCCCTGAAAGGCTAGTCAGTCTGGTGGTTTATTGTGACATTGCATATATGTGTATATATGTGTGCATGCACATGAGAGTGTGTGTGTACACACTCAGGCACTTCTGAAGGCTAAAAAGCTGGCTGGCAGGGCACAGCCGTGGATCCCAGGTGTAGACACAAATGGCACTTCTTTGGTGGTTGATCTTAAGTGTTCACCCCTGCCAATCATGTGACTGTGAATGCTGCTGCAGCTTGTGAAGAGAAGACAGTGTCCACATGCAGTTTTGTGTACCTGTTAGAGTCACACATCAAGGACAAGTTCAAGAGCAAGCTAGGGCTGTGTGAGGGTCAGGGAAGGTTTTCCGAACTGGAAATGCTGGCAGCTTGCAGTTACTTTTCAGCAGTACTTGACCAGCAGCTGCTGACTCAGGTGAGCAGCACATCATCCAGCCAGGGAACTCTGTGCCAGGCCTGCAGGGCCACCAGGAGGGGCATCCCAGTGCCTCAACAATCCCTGAATCTCAACTGATTTGCAATTTCCTCCTCAGGCGAAGGATGCCATCAATTTTAACTGACACAGGCCTATGGTCTGAAATCCACAGGTAATGAGGCAGTGAACTCATTTATTATCTTGAGTCCCATTATCCTAGTTCCCTAAAGATTTTAAAGAAAAACTACAATACAAGCTGGGTGTGGTGACAAGCACCTGTGGTCCCATCTACTCAGGAGGCTGAGGGGGTAGGGTCACTTGAGCCCAGGAGTTTGAGGCTGTGGTGAGCTATGGTTATGCCACTGCACTCCAGCCTGGATAACCGAGCAAGACCCCGTCTCAAAAAGAAAGAAAAAAACTGCTAGGAAACCACAATGACTAGAATTCCTGTTGCTCTCCACTACCCATAATACATGCCACAGTCACCTTCTCATTTAATCTTTACACCACCTCAGAGAGAGAACTCTGGTTCTTCGGCAGCCCGCAGAAAAAGAATGAAATCTGTTTTTAGAGTCTTAAGGGTATCCTTTTTATGAAGATACATAACACGAGAGAGAATGACTTACCTGTTGGCTTGTTCTTCTTTCCCCACCATGTTACCCAGAAAAGGAACAGGTAATTTTACCTGGTAGCCACTTCTGATGTGACGTCAAGAAATTCTCTAACTGGAATTTCCCATACTGGGGCTTAAGATTTTGTCCCCTCTCCATAACCAGTGTTGACAGAGGCCCTGTCCTCACCCAGTGAAGAGGCAGCAGCAGGCTCTTGGCCTGGATTTGCTGCCCACTGGGTGTGAATTCCTGAATAAGGAATGAGACCTCTTTGGGACTCTGCAAAATAGAGCTCAGGATGCCTGCCATGCTTTCCTGGAAAGCATACATGTGGATGTGCATCTGCATGCAATCTGATTGAAGGGAGCAATGTCTCAATTCTTCTCCAGGTTACCCTGTATCATCTCCTATTGCTACTGAAATGAATTACCAGACTCAGTAAATGACACTAATGTATTACCTTATAGTTCTCAAGGTGAGAAATTCAACATGGGTCTCACTGGGCTAAAGGCAAGGTGTCAACAGAGTTGATCTGCTTTCTGGAGGCCCAAGAAGAAAATCTGTTTCCTTGCCCTTGTCTAGTTTCTAGAGGTCACCCCATTCCTTGGTTCATGGCCACCTTCCTCCATCTTCAAAGTCAGCGACAGTCTCCCTTGGACTCTGCTTCTAGCACCACATCTTCCAACTCTCTTCTGCCTCCCTCTTCCACATTTAAGAGATTACAATGGGCCCACCTTGATAATCCAGGCTAATCTCTCTATTTTAAGGTCAGCTGATAAGCAAATTTAATTTCCCTGTGCCGTGTAAGGTAATATATTCACAGGTTCTGAGGATCAGGACATGGACATATTTGAGGGCCATTCTGCATACCACAAGCCCCAAACCTTCATTTCTCCTTGGAGGGTCTGTTTTGTAACTCCTTCACCATCCCCTGATAGTCATTTCCTGGGCTCAAGCAACTCAAGCAATGCTGAAGTAATAGGTCCAGGAATGAATACGGAGTTCTTGAAGAACCTCACCAAAGCTAAGTTTGAGGAGTGTGGTATGTGGTCATGGGTACCCAAAACCTAGCCCCATGGAAGGAGTGTGTCAGGAAAAATCAGAGTGATGAATTGTTAGAGCAGCAGATGAAATCAAATACTGGTGACCTACCTTTGTGTTTCCAGGTGTGGATTTGGTCAAAAACCAAGTTCATCAATAGGAAATTCCTAATGGAAGAACTTTACCAGCACTTTCTAGATGGAGAAGATAGCCATGTAGCTCAAGAAGATGACCCCTTCTGGGATCCTGTTGAGGTGGTCCACTTGGGTTCGGCTCACATCTGGCTCCAGTCGCTTGCCTACAGCATGAAGTTTGAGGAGCAAGTGGAGTTTCTGAATTGCGACGGGCTGGAGGAGGCAGTGTTGCACATCTACATAGCACCCTGCTCCCCAGCAGGACAGTGGGTGTCTCCTTCTTGCCCTCACTTAGTTCTGTCTGGGTCACAGGTAGAAAATCCTGGACAAGCCTGAGTTCTCTCGAGGAGGGTGATCAACTTGGTACCCTGACATGGTCATTCATAGGACTAACGAATGAGCTCATTCATTTGTGATTTGGCCCCATCAAATCTGGTTTTTGTCATGGCAGCCAAATCAGCTGACCCAGAATGCCCAACTGCGTTTGAGACAGCTCAGCACTGCCCTGGAAGACCCAGGAATGAGGAGGACATTGGGCAAAGAGGCAGGTGTAGGAGACTTGGACAAAAACCAAAAGAGCCAGATTGAATCCAAACAATGGGCCCTCAAAAGAGAGAAGCCGAGTGTGCTGCAGGGCCTCCCCACCCACAGCCCCTCCTGGCACTGTGAAGCCTGGCACCTGCCGCACATCAAATACCATTCTGAAGGCTCTTCTAGAGTCAGAAGCAGAAATTTATTTTCCATCTCACTCCTTCTCCATTCTTGGTATAGGCCTGCCAATTTCTTTGCTCCTTTGAGATGTCTGGCCTCATTCTGTGCTGTCATATGAACTTTCTGTGGGCACAGGCTTTGTTTTGATCTATCAATTCTGCCCTAAACTCTGCTTTATTACCTTTTGCCCTCCTTTCAGGTTATGGTATCTGTTTACCCTCTTTAGGCCATAGACAGTTTGGTTTTTTTCCTTCACAAAAGTTAAAGTCTTTTAGCAAATTTAAGCAAAGAAACTGGTGGTGGTGGTGGGGCGTGCTGTTTTGGGTGCCAAGACCCTCACAGGCACCCAGTGCAACCTTTGTGTCTTTCTGAAGAGGAAATCAGCTCAAGAAGGAGTAAAAGAAACTCAAGTTCTGTGATCAAGAGAGAACATGCTGGCCAACAACTCACTTTCTTTACAAGGACTCCAAGCAACTTTTAATATTTATATTATATATAGATATATTTAATATTATACATACATTATATATAGAATATAATATATATTCCTTTTTCCTCCAGGTTGGGAGCTCCTTGAGAAAGTCCAGTTCTTGCCTTGTGTCAGGGGTAGCATGGGTTTATATCAAGTGTCTCTTGAATGAATTCTACAACAGGTGATATTACCTATCCTGACTTTTAGTGAAATCAGCTATCTCCTAGGATTCCATGAAACACCCTTGACATCACAATCCTAACTTGCTTGGACTCAGCCTAACCTAAGGTCAATGTCACCTCTTCTGTTTGCAGAGCACATAGTGAGGAAGACGTGGTTATCGACCCTTTGGAGCAGCTGGGCAAGAGGATCGATTTCCAGATTCACATTGTCCGGTGTCTTGGTGTCAAGTGGCTAAAGGAAGATGCAAAGCGGGGCATTCAGATAGGGTACCAGCCTGCCGCACAGAACTATGCACATACCACCTGCACATGGCCCCTGGGGGGAAGCAGTCCAGACTTTCTTCAAGTCTTCAAAATGAGCTTATCATAAAAATTTCTTAAGTTACTCTGTTTGTTCAGCTCCAAAATGACTATTTTCTCCCATCTACTTAACAGAAAAACCACACATGTCCCTCCCGGTCACCGGACTGTGGTCAAGTGCGTACTGAACTTTTTACATGATTGAAGCAGTCATAAATTTTAACTAACAGAAACAATATCCAGTAAAACTGTATTATCTAAGTAAGACTTTTTTTTTTAACTTGGAAACAAAAGGACTGTATTATGATATGGCAGAAGCACCAGATATGCTTAAACTAATTAGGGTAAAAGGATATTAAAATATAAAGCCAAAAAGAAAGGCAGACTTTGAAGAACAAAAACCAAACCACTACCTCACAGAAAAGTTAGCATTTTAAAATTCTCTAAGTAGAAAGGATTTCTTGACATCCTTTTCATTTTTTGTCAGATACTTGGGGTTTTTTGTTTTTGTTTTTGGAGTCTCACTCTGTTGCCCAGGCTGGAGTGCAGTGGCACGCCCACAGCCACCACAGCCTCATCCTTCTGGGCTCAGGCAATCCTTTCACCTCAGCCTTCCAAGTAGCTGGAACTACAGGTACATGCTACCACATCCAGCTAATTTTTGATTTATTGTAGAGACAAGGTCTCACCAAGTTGCCCAGGCTGGTCTCGAACCCCTGGACTCAGGCAATCCTTTTGCCTTGGTCTCTCAAAGTGCTGGGATTACAGGCTTGAGCCACCATGCCTGACTTGTCAGATACTTATTATCCATATAGCAATGATATCCATATTGATAACTGAGATTTTGCAACCTTAAGAATCAATTATAGGTCATCTTTTATGTAACCAACAAACAGGCTAAATCTTAGGTTCATCTGTTCCTTTTCTTTACAAATGTATCACACCCTGGTTTTAAGTTATGTTTTATGTTCTTTTCTCAGGTACAGAATTTATGACCTTCCAAACACTATCTATACCAAGCCTGTATGGAAAATTATGAACCCACAAATTGAAGAGACTGTCCAATTTTCAGCCTTAAATGCATCTCAGGAGTTTTTGAGCTATTTGCAGACAAATGCTCTCATTGTTGATTTATGGGGCCTTCAAGGTACCTTGTTTACTTATTATTTCTTGTAGTGCATTCCTCAATCAGATATAACATCAGTCCATTTAGGGCTGCAGAAGAGGTAGAGGAGGGAGGTAGTCAAGGTCCTAACAGCAGTATGCAAGAGCAATATCTGCCCCTGATGTTGGGTTCTAGTCCAGCAGGTGATCACATGGGTTAACATCTCCTCACATAACATGGAGGCCAGGCACCTGAGTAATGTCTTATTTTGATGGTCTCTCTCCTACAATATAGAAGGCTGTGCTGAGCTCAGTTGCCCTCAGTCGGACTTCATGGTCACAGGTGAAGGCCCCATCATGGTAGACACCAAGAAAATTTCCACTGTGAAGGATACACGCCAGGTGTGTACATGTGACATTAAAATGGGTAGCACAGGTGACCAGAAAATCTCAGATGATAGCTTCTGGAGGATTATCAATGTTCCTTCCCCTTAACAAGAGTTTTCCTGATTTACTCCTGTGTACCCTAGGGGTTTAAACCCTGCTCACCACACCCCACCCCACTCCCTATCCCATTTGGTTTTCCCTGGTAGTAAAAATCTGCCAGTCTCAAGGATATGCAGATTATCCAGCAAAAGGCTAAAACAATACATTTTTTGTAGACTACATCAAACCAGACATCAGAACTTTATCTGAAGCTGCTCAAGTTAGAGCAGGAGAAAGAACTGCTCAGAAACATTAACAGAGCCCTAAGAGAAGAGAATGTGTTTCTCAAAGAATCACTTGAGAAACTTGGTTCTGGTCAACAAGGTGAGAGATTGCTCAAGTCTTGGTTGTTCAGATTTTCCCCAAACTCCTACATTTGGGATGTGCATTTGTCTGTCTAAAGAAACAAATATTTTAATGAGTTAGTCTTTATCTTGTTTCATAAACAAAAAATGCAGGACTTTTTTTTTCTTTTGCTCTGTGTGATTGCTTTGGATGAGTCCAAATTGATGTCTGATAAATGCTGATGTGGTAGAACATTATCAAAATAAATAAATATAGAAATTCCTGGATAAACAGATGAATAAACAAATGTTACTTTCTCTTTCCACATCAGCCCATAAGACTTCCAACTCCCTGAAGATAACTGGGATGACATCACTATTGCCATCAGCCAGAGAGATTAATCAAATGTGTACACAGCAAGCCAGCTGTGACAGAGAATTTGCCAAGGCTCTTAAGGTGTTCTACCAAAGCATGAACACAGCAAGAGGGCAGTTTCTCAGACTGAGACAGTATAAACCTCCCGTAAGTAACCAGAATCTTGAGAGCAAAAGGAATCTCTACCCACTAAATTAAGATATTTGATATAACTACAATTCCTAAGCTTGTGTATGTTTAAGCAGAAGAGCAAGTCTAAGCCTCAAAAGTGTGAATCTCCTCCTTTCTTGGGCCTCTATCCATCTTTGCTCTGGTCTTTTTATGTTAGTGCACATCTGCAGGTTCCAAGCAGCCATGGTCATTGCAGGAGTGATATCCATTCACTTCACAATTTAATATACAGACTATCCCAGAAATGCAAGCTTGGCTTATTATTATAAAGCCAAATATAGTTGATCACATTGAGATTATAGAAGAAAAATAATCTGATTACTTTAAAATATGCAGAAAAAGCAAGAGATAAAATTCAACATTTTATGATGATGAACACTTCTTGGCAGACAGGAATAAAATTGACATTCCTTAATCTGATAAAGGCATTTTAGGCAAACACACAGGCAAAATGCTTGATGGCAAATTATGGAAAGTCTTCCCTTTTAGATCAGAAAGAAGTCAGGAATGCCAGCCTTCTTCCCCTCTGTCCTTTAGGTTCAAGCCAGAGCAGTAAGGCAAGAAATACAAAGGATTTACACTTACATAATACTTACTAAGCACTTTATATTTACTGATTCAATTCTCACAATAACCCTATGAGATCAGTACTATTATTAGCCTTATTTATTTATTTATTTATTTTGAGTTGGAGTCTCACTCTGTCGCCCGGACTGGAGTGCAGTGGCCGCTCCCGGCCACCGCAACCTCGCCTGCTGGGCTCTGGCGATCCTTCCGCCTCAGCCTTCCAAGTAGCTGGAATTATAGGCATGCGCTATCATGCCCGGCTGTTTTTTTGATTTATTGTAGAGATGAGGTCTTGCTGCGCAGGCGGGTCTCGAACCCGCGGGCTCAGGCAATCCACTCACCTCAGCCTCCCAAAGGCGCGGGATTACAGGCTGAGCCACCGAGCCCGGCTTATTAGCCTTATTTTATAGTTCATGAATCTAAGGTGGAAGAGAGGTTATGTAACTTGTTTAAGGATGAACAACTAATAAATAGCAGGGCCAAGATCCAAACCCAGAGAGTGCTGTTCCATAGTCTAGGCTCTCCCAATACCCTGTGCTGTCTCTCTTATGATCCCCAGATAACAGGCTTGTATAAATAGAAATTTAAAAATTTTAAATCTATATTTAAATTTTTAAAATTTACTTTTTTTTTTTTTTTTTTGAGTTGGAGTTTTACCCTGTCACCCAGGTTGGAGTACAGTACAGTGGCATACTCAAGCCACCATATCTTTGACCTCCTGAGCTCAGGTGATTCTTCCACCTCAGCCTTCCAAGTAGCTGGAACCACAGGTACGTGCCACCACACCTGGCTAATTTTTTTATTTATTGTAGAGGTGAGGTCTCACCAAGTTACCCAAGCTCATCTCAGACCCCTGGGCTCAGGCAATCAACTTACCTCCACCTCTCAAAGAGCTGGAGTTATAGGTGTGAGCCACTGTGCCTGGCTACATTTAAGATTTAATTGTGCTTGAATGTAATGGCAACAAGCAGAAAATTATTTTTTTAAATAAAAGATACAATTTATAATAGCATTAAATATGTGAAATACTTAGGCCAGGCCAGGCGCAGTGGCTCATGCCTGTAACCCCAGTACTTTGGGAAGCCAAGGCAAGAGGACTGCCTGAGCCCAGAAGTTTGAGACCAGCCTAGGCAACATGGTGAGAACTCGTCTCTACAATAAATCAAAAAATTAGCCAGAAGTGGTGGTGCATGCCTGTAGTCCCAGCTACTCTGGAGGCTGAAGCAGAAGGATCGCCTGAGCCCAGCAGCTTGAGGATGCAGTATATGTGATTGTGCCATTGCACTCCAGCGTGGGAAACAGAATGGTGAGAGTCTGACTCCAAAAAAAGAAAGATAAATACTTAGGCCCATAGCTAACATAAAACATGCGAGAATTCTATGAAATTGTAAAAACTTGTTAGAGAGATTTTTTAAAAGATCTAAAAAAATGGAGAAACATGCCATGTCTCAAAGTTTGGAAGATTTGCTCACTGTAAATCTATCTATTCTCCCCAAGATTCAATGTAATCTCAATCAAATGTAATGGAATCTGACAAGATGATTCTATAATTTATATGAAACTGCATAAGCAAAGAATAGCCAAGACAAGACCAATACCTGAGAATAAGGTAGGAAGACTTGCCCTACTATATCAAGACTTTAATGCCTCCGTAATAGACAGTAAGGCATTGGTCCAAATATAGATAAGATGACCAAAGAAAAAGAACAGAAGGGCCAGAAACAGATTCTTTGAGGACTAGAGACTTGATCACAGATGAGTGTGGCAAGAATGGACTTTTCAGTAAACAGTGCCAGGAATGTATGTGAGGAAAAATGAGTTTTTTCCTCATACATACATCAATTTTAGGTGAGAATTAAAGACCTAACTGAGAAAGGTACTATTCTAATGCTTTTAGAATATATTAGGAGACTGTCTTCATGACCTCACAGTGAAAAATGATTTATTATCCTAGCTTTAAAGAAAGAGTTTTTTTAGTGGAATCTCACTCTGGCACCCAGGCTGGAATGTAGTGGCACTTTCACAGCCATGACAGCCTTGACCTGGTGGGCTCAGGTGATCCTTCCACCTCAGCTTTCCAACTAGCTGGAACTTTAGGCACATGCCATCATGACCAGCTAATTTTTTGATTCATTGTAGAAATGAAGTCTCGCCATCTTCCCTAGGCTGGTCTCAAACCCTTGGACTCAGTCAATGCTCTCATTTCCACATCCCAAAGTCCTGGGATTACAGGCGTAAGCCACTGTGCCCGGTCTAAAGGAAGCAATTGATAAATTCACCTACATTAAAATTATGGACTTTGGTTCACCAAAAGACACCAAAACGAAAAAGTCAAAAGGGATGGGTAAAGGGAACTACAACACATCTAACATATAATAAACTAATACCCCAAATAAAGAACAACTACAAACCAAAAAGAAAAAGATAGACAGCTTAATAGAAAGTAATGGTCAGGATGGGCACAGTGGCTCATACTTGTAATCCCAGCACTTTGGGAGGCTAAGGTGGATGGACTGCTTGAGTTCAGGAATTTGAGACCAGCCTGGGCAACATAGCAAAACCTTGTCTCTACAATAAATAATAATTTTTTAAAAATTAGCCGGGTGTGGTATTGCTCACCTATAGTCCCAGTTACTTGAGATGCTGATCAAAAGATTTCAACCACAGTGAACCACTGTAGTATCATTATAAATCCTCCATACTGGAAAAAATTAAATCTGACAGTATCAATTTTTGGTGAAGACATGAAGCAACAGAAACTCTCATGCATGGCTAGAAGGAGTATAAATAGGTAAAACCACTTAAAAATTGTTTTGGTATTTACCTAATACAAGCTGAAGATACTACATCCTAGAAGCCTACCATTCAACTCCTCCTTTCTCAATGGAGTGAACTGGTCCTGAAGAGTAGCAAGCCCTGATGCCTTCAGGTAGAGGTTCTCAAAGTGTGCTTCCTGATTTAGCAGCCTCAGTAGCACTTGGGAGCTTGTTAGAAATGCAGATTCAAGTGCCTTACCCCAAACCTTCTGAATCAGAATCTCTGGGTATGTGGCCTAGTAGCCTGTGTTTCAACAAACCCTCCCATGATTCTACCTTAAACTGAAGTTTGAGAACCTACTGCATTTGGGCATCACTGTATGTAATAAGCTAACTCTCCTGCATCTCTAAAATGATACTAGTTACATAGCATTCTTGAAAGTGAGAAAAGAGTTACTCAAATCACTTCTGTTCTGTGATTCTGATAAAAGACCAGCTGAGAAAGACTACACAACTCCTTGCATATGTGTACCAGTTGTTCATAACACCCTCTCCCATAATACTATCAAACTGGAAACATCCTAATTCACAGAGGATGGGTAAATTCTGGCACCTCTATAATGCAGAGCATTATCCTACTGTGAAAATGAACCTGTCACATGCAACAGAGATGAATCTCACCATCTTCAAGTCATAAAAGATGACATCTAATATTTTCCATAAACATTCAAAGACAGAATATACTGTTTAGGGATGTATTCAGAAAGGCAAGTAAATGATTTCACACAAGTCAGGCTAATGGTTGCTCCTGCAGGATGGGGAGAGGGTATGACAGGAGTTCGAGACAGGGCCTCTCTCGAGCAGGTGTGCTCACTTTAACTGGGCCTGTGCATATTGGTTAGATGAAAGATACCATAAACAAAGTTAAAAATAAGCCACAACCTGGGAGAATCTATTACTACTACTTATCATCAAGTGTTAGTATTCAGAATATATAAACAATTATTCTTAAAATAAAAAGACGTTGAAAAACACATTGAAAAAAGTGGGCAAAGGATGTGAACAGGCATTTCACTAATAATCAGGGAAATACAAACTAAAATGCAGTGTCACACCATCTGCTCTCTGCTGTTCTCATTCTCAGTGAGCACTGTCACCCTCTCTTCTACCATCTGACACTGGTGCTCTAGCACAGAGCCATCCACAAATCCCTTCTCAGGGGAACCTGTTTCCACGGAATAGTGCATCAGCAAAATCCTACCAATGGGCAAACCCCCACATCCATTGGTTCCTTGGCAAACCTCAAAACTTCTATAGTATTAAAACACGATATAACATTCCAATCTGAAATATCTGAATTATCTCACTAGTTTTCCCTATTGGCAGTAACTAAAGGGCCATTCATGCAGCCTTCCTGAAACAAAAGTTGCTCTGAACTTACTGCCTCTGCTAGCAACTTTCAAATGCAGTTTTCTAGACCAAAGGGAAAACTTACTGGACACCCCACTCTCACATACACAATATTTTTTATTCTGATGACATGAGGTCTACTACTATCATTCTTCTCTTTCATTTATTTTCTAGGAAGACGACCAAATGCTTAGACCATTTGTACACCAACAGTCACAGATGTTTAAGGATTTTGGGGACCTACTTGAATCCAGCTTGTGGAAACTGAAAAATGATGTTGCTCTTATAGTGAAAAAGAAGAGAGAATATTTATTGCATATTAAATAGTGAGGACACATCAACTGAAAACATTTGAGCTTTGAGTTGTGAAGATTATTTGTGTAGCTAAAGAGCTTAACTTATTTCTCACTTAACCTATTTCTTCTATCATTTTAAAGCAAAACTCTCCTTCAGTTTGATTTTAAATCACGTGAAAATGAATCCATATGCACTTGGATATGATGCAAATGAAGGTGAGATGGGAGATATCTGAACGGTTGGCACTGAGTTGTGGTATCAGACAATCTAGGCTTCAATCACTTATCAACTCTATGATTTGGCCTAAGTGACCTCCACTGTCCATGCCTCTCTTTCTTCATCTGTTATACAGGAATAATAACAGTAATTACTGCTGGTGGTTAATGAGCATAAACTCAGAACAGTGCCCGGCACACAGAAGAGACTAAAAAGTATTTGCATTAATATTTTTATGGTAAACAGTTCAAAACTTCAAATGAAGCACTTCTGATCAATTTCCTGCTGTCAGCCCTAGAGACAATGGTTATTTAATGCCCTTCATTTTATACCTTTGCTCTGAATAAGTTTGAATTCTACCTCCATTTATTTTCTTTTCATAGATTCATTTGAAATACTGTATGTTCAATTTGCTTAGCAGCATTAGTGCCTGTACTATGGGACCTTTTTAGTGCAGGGCCTGGGGTACAGGGATTATGACTGTTAGTAAGAGGATCTACCAGGATTTAATCTATCTTGAAGTCCTTTTTTTTTTTTTTGAGTTGGAGTCTCACTGTCACCCAGACTGGAGTGCAGTGGCCGCTCCCAGCAGCCTCAATCTGCTGGGCTCCGGCAATCCTTCTGCCTCAACCTTCCAAGTAGCTGGAACTACAGGCGCACGCTACCACGCCCGGCTAATTTTTTGATTTATTGTAGAGATGAGGTCTTGCCAAGTTGCCCAGGCGGATGGCTCAGGCAATCCACTCACCTCAGCCTCCCAAAGCGCTGGGATTACAGGCTGAGCCACCGAGCCCGGCTCGGTCTTCGTTGACACACACTGAGCACTCTGGCTGAGGCTGCAAAGAAACTTCTTGTGGCCAAAGAGAGACTTCTAATAAGAGTAGCAACAAGCCAGGTGTCGTGGCTCATGCCTGTAATCCCAGTACTTTGGGAGACGAGAGGACTACCTGAGCTCAGGGGTTCAAGACCAGCCTGGGCAACATGGTGAGACCTTGTCTCAACAATAAACAACAAAATAAGCTGGGCATGGTGGTACATGCCTGTGGATCCAGTTACTTAGAACGTTGAGGTGGAAGGATTGCCTGAGCCCAGTAGGTTGAGGCTACGGCTGGCATGAGCGTGCCACTGCACACCGGCCTGGGTGGTACAGTGACACTCCAATTCTTAAAAAAAAAAGAGAGTAACAACAATAGTAGTGATCATGTTGAAATTTAACAAGTGCTTACACCATGTACCAGGCACTGATCTAAGTGCTAAACAGGTTAGCTCCTTAATTCTCACAATAATACTATGAGCTTGAGGCTTTAAAGGTGAAATAACTCATGACTGACTGACTCTGTAACTGACTCCCATCCCTGGGAGAAGTTGGGCTGATTTACATGATGAATCAGGAAGGAGAAAATAAGAGGTGCCAATCCCAATACTTCCTTCCTAAACTATGAAGTTAAGGGAGATCAAATGGGATGATACTGAGCCTCTACTGGCAGGAAAGAATGTCAAGAACTCCAAAAAGGAGTCTTCCTGGGAGGGCAGGGGAATTTAGGCTGGTGATTTCAGCTTAATACTAGCGCCCAAGGATTTATGGGGGAGGTTTGGGTTCTGCTTGCAGCTTGGGCCCTCATCATGCACACAAGTGAAATTAAAAAACCCTATAACCTGGGAGCTCACATGTGGAGCATCACGTGGTGCCTACAGGATGGGGTCAGCAGAGGTATCACAGAATCCTATAAAGCCTCTGTCAGTAAGACACAATTAACAGTAGCGGCTGAGCAGACTCCAGTTCTCTCTGCTTGGCTACTAGAAGCAGGAATGGTGTCTACCTCTTGAACTAAGCATCGAAGTTCTTGGACAATTTGCAGTTTACTCACCTGAGGTGAGTAATATACTGTCAGCAAATGATAACAGGTGGCACGCTGGGGCATTAAAAGGATGATCAGAATGAGATACACTCCTACCTCAAGCTGGAGGATGGATCATGCTGCTGCCTTCATAATATGTTAATACTTAAGCATACATTGCAAAGCTGGAAATAACACAGACAGAACATGCAGCTTCACCCAATGCTTCCTAAATGCAGACCTAAAAGACAGATTCTGAAGCTCCGGCCTCCAGGCCTCCTGAACACAAACCGCAGGGGGTGCTGGGGAACCCATTATCGTTATGTGGTTCAGATGTGTAGCTAGTCATGGGCTCTATTGCTCCTGTACAGCTGTCTAATTTTAGAGCTGATAAAACTTTTTCTAAGGTCCCACAAGTTAGGCAGAGCTGAGACTGAAGTCCGCATCTTGCGATGACCAGGCTGGGGCTAAGGAAGCAGGGTTAGGACGGGCACTACTACTACCAGAATCTCCCTCTTCAAGTTAGATGCCCTCCTTCTTCTGCACAGGCAGCACAGAAGGGTCTCCCAACAAGAATAATAGTCCTGAATTTGTTATGCTTCTCAATTTCTTGTAGAAATTCCATAAAAGGGTGGCTGTCTTGTTTAATAAACAAAACAAACACTATGTATCTGTTTATTATATGCTTATTACAAAAGGAATAGTTCTTTCCCTTATTTTAGGGCTTCCATGGAAAATCTAGTTAAAATGCAAAATGTCAATTGAGAAAAATTCTGCTTAGGCAATAAAATCAACAGGAACCCACAAGGCATGTGTCCTTAAAACTAATCACAGGTACAGAAACAGCATCAGGGAAAGAAAAAAAATGAAAATTATTTGCAGTTTTACTAAGTCAGACCACCAAAGCAGCACATTTCTACTATTATACAAATACATAGGCAGGTCCAAACACAAAACCACCATTCAATTGACAATCCTTTATTATTCAACTTAGGTAACAGTCCAAAATCAGTCAGTGTAGACAGGTGAAAAACTAGGCTAAAATGGCAAAAAGTGCAGTTCCCTTTAGCAAAGGTTCACACAATATGTAAAGAAACTCACTGGAGGTGAGATTTCATTCATACTACGACAAGGAAAGCAGCAGTTACTGCCCTAAATGAATGCCAGCCTGGACACCCCCATTAAGGAATGTTGTTAACAACACGGATAGGGACACCACCTCTACCACCAGACCTGCCAGCTCATTCATAAAAATTTACCAGGAACATTTCAATAAGAGAATCAGTCAAATATTAGTTCTCTCTTATAAGCAATAAAATCACAAAATCAGTTGAGATTTGAAATTTGGGTAAGCTAGTAAAATTTCCTGCTTTTAATGTAGATATTTTAGATTTGACAATCTTTTCCAGTCAGATAGGCTTATAGAAGAATTTCAGATATCAAATAGAGAAGCTGTTAATTCATGCACTTTACGACTTCAGTTAATTCTTCAAATGTTTAGACTTCAGAGCTGCTAATAACACTAAATTCAATGCCACGTTTGTTGAGTCTGTCAATCAACTTTGTTCTGGAGAAAGCTGCTCCAGGTGTGAAGACCCCGCCCCTGTAAAACAAGAGAACATAGGCACACAGCTCCTCTTCAGTCCTCTCTTCTGTAGGACTAGCCAAAGGACTCATGAAAACCTGAGTCTTCATGCTTTCATGGCTACCATTAGTTCTATTCCTAAAATCAAGTCAAATGAGCAAGTAGCTATTATTCAGGAGAAACTGGCACCACAGCCAGTCTCATCTAGATTGATTCAGTTCCTGTTGAGATTGTTTCCATGATACCCATGTAATTAAGGAGCATACTGAGCTCATCAACCTGAGTAACTGGTTCTGTTATTAAGACAGTCCTCAGACTCAGGTGGATTTAAGAAGGCCTGAATGAAATAAATATAGGTAATCAATTATTATTAAAGTATAAATAGAACTTGAAGTGGATGAAAAAGAAGTTTTAAAAATATAATAGCTATCCTATTCAACATTGTACTAAAAAAATAGCTAACATATAAATGCTAAATATTCTCAATGAGTACGAAAGTATTTGAAAAAATTTTAATTAGGCTTTACTATAAACAAACTTTGTTTTTATTGGTTAATACTGTTTTAGGTTATGTCTGATTTACTTTTCAGCTGTGGGCTTATGTTCATTTGTAAAGCTGGCCTAGTTTTAGAATAATGGCTAAATGCTCCAGTAAGACAGTACATTTGATAACCATCTCGCCAGGAGGCTCTGATTCAATTTAGGCTTGGTATCCATCAGAGCTCCCACTGCCAGCTGGGTATAGTTCAGTGCTGATTAGAGACTCCTGTTAATATTATTTAACAAAAGGTACCTTTTTTTATTGGCTGACTGGGGACTTGAGCTATTTTTTAAAGACTGCAGCTAACTTAACAAGGCTCTCAAACTTCTCTGTCTCCTCTCATTTACCTTCACAGTTGTTCCCAGAGGTTGGTTAAAAACTGTCTTTCTCACAATTTTAATTTACCTATATCTTTGGACTAAAGGAACTGAACTATAAATCCTTATATGCAGACCCAAAGCCTGAAAAGCAAATCAAAATAAGCTAAAATATAACATAGACATAAAATATATCTTCTAATAGAAGAAACTAAACTTACGCCTTAGGAAGATCAGAGACATCATTTAGAAGGGTCATGGCTGCCTGAACCATGGCTATGGGAGTAGCCACGTAACCAGCCTCTGCAGAAAATAATTGATTAAGGAAAAAAAATATTTTCACGAAGTATGCATTCAACAACATCAAAAAATCAAATGGCAGATTTTATATCTAACTCCAGGTGTACAGAATTTTTTTAACAGGCTACTGTGGTCACTTAACAAAAATAGCAATTAATCTCTATACAGTATTTATTAAGTGTTAGGAACTGTATTAAGCACTTTAAAGCTATCAAATTCACTTAATTTTCATAAAAATTACACAAGGTCAGTGCTATTTTTTTTTTTATTTGGAGTTTCACTCTGTTGCCCAGGCTGGAGTGCAGTGGCACGCTCACAACCACTGCAGCCTTGACCTGCTGAGCGCAGGGGATCCTTCCGCCTCAGCCTTCCAAGTGGCTGGAATTACAGGCACGTACCACCACACCCGGCTTATTTTTATTTTAATTTATTGTAGAAATGAAGTCTTGCCAAGTTGCCCAGGCTGATCTCTAGCCCATGGGCTCAGATAATCCTCTCACCTCAGCTCCCCAAAGTGCTGGGATTATAGGCGTGAGCCACCATGCCCGGCCGGTCAGTGCTATTTTTATCCCCATCTTTTTCAGATGAGAAAACTGAGTCATAGACAGGTTAAGTGACTTGTTCAAACTGATCAAGTTAGATAATAACTGAGCCAGAATCACACCCAAGCAGCTGGTTCCAGAGCCCACACTCTTACCCACTCCACTGCACTGCTTCTTCACAAGAATTGAAGCCAATGATCCTACATCTTTTGTTTCTCTATTAATACACTAAGCTGACCTCACCTGCATTCACATACTTCACTTAAAAAAAAAAACAAACCTCAATTTCTTAAAGAAAATAACTAACTAAACTTTAAAAAAAAGTCTGTATACAAGTGGGACATTATCATTTACATTTCTATCAGATAATAGACAGTCAATTTATCTTTAAAAAGTCAGGTGGGAATTTGAAAAAACAGCAAGATGGAAAATCAGTGCCATCTGGCTGGATAAAAACCCCGTGGCCTATCAGGAATGAGAGCAATTAAACTTATAAGTATACTATAATCCACAAGTGGGTCTGTCTCTATATAGTTCTCTAAAATTGATAGCAAATGTTTTGAACATTTTTGGGGAACAGATCCTTAACAACCTATTAAAAGCTATTTCTTTCTCTTGAAAAATGCATGTGTGCACATATTTTACAATGTTGGTGTTTAGAGACTCCAAGGAAACCTCAGACACAAATTTGAGTAATGTTATAATTACATGGCTTGTATATGAGACTAAAACAGGAAATTTCATCTAGTTCCTTTTTTTTTTTTTTTGAGTTGTAGTCTCACCCTGTAGCCCAGCCTGGAGTGCAGTGGCACACTCACGGCCACCCCAGCGTCAACCTGCTGGGCTACGGCAATCCTACTGCCTCAGCCCTCCAAGTAGCCAGAACTACAGGCGCACACTACCATGCCCAGCTAATTTTAAGATGAGGTCTTGCCAAGTTGCCCAGGCTGGTCTCAAACCTGCGGGCTCAGGCAATCCACTTGCCTTGGCACTCCCCAAGTGCTGGGATTATAGACTGAGTTACTGAGTCCGGCCTAGCCCCCTTTTTTTTTAACACTAACTAAAAGTTGCCATTCTAAATTATTGAACCACACTGAAAAAGAAAACCAGAGGGAAGAATACACTAATAAAATTAAATTATATCAATCATTTCAATCTTTCCTTCCTCTGACAGAATAATTTTAAATTACTTAAGTAATCTGTATAAAAGTAGTTCTAAAATAATTAAGCTTTAAAAAGAATATATTGTAATAGCATTCAACTTTATAGGTTAAGACAATGTAAAGCTCCAAGCATTCTTAAATCAAATGTGAAATACCTGGTCCTTTCACCTGAGTACAAATTCTGATATTTGGTTTGTTCTTATCAATACCAAGCCCTTGACTATATCCTTGACCAAGGAATGTCAGTGTAAATGATGAGGCATCTATCTGTGAAACAGAAAGCAAAAGGCTCATTTAGTAAATATGTTGTTTCCTCCTGGAACAACATAAACCTACTATTCCATTTCATGAGACATTTTCAATAGATTTTTAAGAATTCTATTTGCCAGAATATTTTTTAAGTATGGAGCAAAACTGATTCTTTGAATCTGTACATTTTGATGACTGGATGATGTTGGGGGGAGGGGAGGTGTTAAGTAACAGAGATGAGATAAAGATGATACTAGAAAGTAGTTTTTTATGGGGGGGTAGAATATAGAAATCTGGTTTTAGATGTATGAAATAGGTATCTGTTGAGATGACAAGACAAAAATAACCAGCAAGTAATGCAAATATGGGCCTGGGCACAGACACATAATTGCTCTACTTAGAGATAGAAATTTTTGATTCAAAAAATTAAATTATAGAGGCCTTATCCTAGCATCTTTCACAATCACTAAATTTAGGAATAAGGTAATAAAGAAATCGACCATGATCAATAAATTTTTACTAAGTAATAACTAAGGGTTCAGATATCATCTTAGGCCCTGAGACATAGATATGGTCTCTGCCTTTGTTGGAACTTACAATTTAGTGTGGGAGAGATATAAACAGATTCAATAACAATATGAGACATACTAAAAGATGCAGAAATAGCTCAGAGGAGGGTGTTAAATCTACTGGGCAGAGGACATGGTTATAAAATGTGTACACACACACACACACACACACACACACACACACACACACACACACACATCTTAATAGTTAAAAGTAGGGCAGATTCCAGGAAGGAGAAACTTTATTTAAAGGGAAGAAGAGATGCGGTAGCATGGCCTATCTAGAATATACAATTCAAGAGGTGATAGACACTTGAATGCCGCACTTGTCCCCTTCCTGCTATGGCACCTACACTAACTGATCATAATCCTCTCTCAGACTAGGCACACGTTAAGCTTCAGATTATTTTCAACATGCTCTCTGGGTTGCTACTACCAGCGAATCAAAGTCGGAAAAAATGAAACCTATCTGCCATCCGGGACTAGATCATGAGGAACCTGCAATGGCCTCACATTTATGGAGATGGACTTCTAGCCAGTTGTGCACCAAAAACCACTCAAATCTGACCTGGAACCCTCCTACCTCCACAGCAATATTTCTCAACTCTGGCAGCATATTAGCATCACTGGAGAGTTTTTAAAAATCTCAATGCCCAGGCCACATTACAGACCAACTGAACCAGACTCTCTGGTCATCAGTTTGGGGTTCTTTCCCAAAGCTAAGAACCACTGCTCTACGCTTTCAGACCTAATGAATCAGAAAGTCCAGAAGCAGAGTGAGGGCATGTGTATTTGAAAAAAGTTCCCTAGATGATTCTGATATATGAACTTCCATTTAAGAATCACTGCCAGCCGGGCTCGGTGGCTCAGCCTGTAATCCCACGCCTTTGGGAGGCTGAGGTGAGTGGATTGTCTGAGCCTGCGGGTTCGAGACCCGCCTGAGCAGCGAGACCTCATCTCTACAATAAATCAAAAAAGCAGCCAGGCGCAGTAGTGCATGCCTGTAATTCCGGCAACTCAGAAGGCTGAGGCGGAAGGATCGCCGGAGCCCAGCAGGTCGAGGCTGCGGTGGCCGGGAGCGGCCACTGCACTCCAGTCTGGGTGACCGAGTGAGACTCCAACTAAAAAATAAAATAAAATAAAATAAAATAAAATAAAAAAAAAAGAATCACTGCCAAAGCAGTGGGTCAGGAATGTTTTTTAAGGAAGACAACAGAGAGGAAAAATGGAGTAGCAAAAATATTTGAGATTTCTAGAAATAAAGAGAATACAATTTCTAGAGCCAGACGGCTGGGTTTTCATCCCAGCTTGGCCATTTACTAGCTGTAAAGCCTCGGACAAGTTTCTTAGCCTCTTTGTGCCTCAGTTCCCTCATTGTAGAATTGAGATAATACTACCTATATCTAAAGCGGTGTTTGAAAAAATTAAAGAATCTAATTTACATAAAGAACTTAAAACAGTGTCTGAAACATAGTAAGTATTGCACTTACTATTGTATATTGTCATTGCACTGAGTAAAAGAACAAAATAAGAAAAGTATTATTTTAGGTATCTGAATATAAAAGAAAGGATTACCTGTTTTTGTGTTGGACCTTGTTTTGAAAAATAACCGAAGGAGAAGAACCATGGGAACTAAAAGATTAAAAAACAATTCTCAGTGATATTTTTAAAAACTCATGGAAAATACTTCTAAAGATCTAATTTGATAAAATCTTACTTACTTTTATGAGAAGTTGCCTCCCAATGCCAAACCTCGCAAATAATAAAAAGAAAAGTCCTGCAAACATCAGCTTAATAACAGAGGTGATGCCTCCCACAGTTATATAAGCAGTATACTGAACCTAGATTGAGAATACAAAGTTAGAAGGTTACTCCCTATATTTTAGACCAAGTAATACAAGAATGTTAGTTCCTTATAACTTTCTTTTCAGTCACAAATATGAAACAAAAGCAGTTTCTACTTTACAAATGCCTTATGTTCTGACAGCTTGTTCAGAAACTAGATACTGGGAGACTATTTTTTTTTTGAATTGGAGTCTCACTCTGTCGCCCAGACTGGAGTGCAGTGGCACGCTCCTGGCCACCACAGCCTTGACCTGCTGGGCTCCGGCGATCCTTCCACCTCCACTTTCCAAGTAGCTGGAACTACAGGCACGCGCTACCACGCCCGGCTAATTTTTTTTTTGATATATTGTAGAGATGAGGTCTCACCAAGTTGCCTAGGCAGGTCTCGAACCCGCGGGCTCAGGCAATCCACTCACCTCAGCCTCCCAAGCGCGGGATTACAGGCTGAGCCACCAAGCCCGACTAGGGAGTTTATTTTTAAAAGAAATTATTACAAAATTATTACAAATGGTAATTAACTTTCCTTACTTGGAACACAAAAATCCACATAATCCATAAAATTTGTGATTTTTAGCAATAATACATTAGTACAGACCCTATTTATAACCCTTCCTATCGGAAAATACCCTTCACTTTTTAACTTACTTGTTTTACCTGAGTTTCCTCTTAAAGTCTCAGCAGTGAAAGCTGCTCACCAAAATGAGGAGGATGATACTCCAGCGGTAGCAAAGAGAAAAGGTAGAGAGAGGGGCCCAGACATCTCCACAAGCAACAAAAAGAGTGTTGCTAGCAGTCAAAAACACTAAACAGGAATTGTTGGGTGCTTATGAGACCAGGATTTACTCTATTTGTAGCTGTTGTGTTACATTAAAAAGGTACTCAGCAGGCCAGATTTAAATCATGGAGCAAGGCTAAAATGCAAAATGCTCAGCTGGGCACAGTGGCTCATGCATGTAATTCTAGCACTTTAGGAGTCAGAGGTGAAAAGACTGCTTGAGCCCAGGAGTTTGAAACCAGTCTAGCAATATAGTCTCTACAAAAACAATCAAAAAATGAGCTGGATGTGGTGACGTGCACTTGTAGTCCCAGCTACCTGTGAGGATGAGGTGAAGAGGAAGGATCACCTGAGCCCAGGAGGTTGAGGTTGTGGTGAGCCATGATCATGCCACTGCACTCCAGCCTGGGCAACAAAGTGAGACCCTGACTAAAAAAAAAAAATACAAAATGCTCTACACTTATGATTCTGTATACAGGTATTTCCGGAAGCTGAAACACATATTATTAATAATATTATTATTATTATTTTAAGTTGGAGTCTCATTTGTCACCCAGGCTGGAGTGCAATGGCACACTCACGGCCACCGCAGCCTTGATCTGCTGGGCTTAGGTGATCCTTCCACCTCAGCCTTCCAAGCAGCTGGAATTACAGATGCACGCCACCATGCCTGGCTAGTTTTTGTGGTTTATTGTAGAGACGAGGTCTCACCAAGTTGCCCAGGCTGGTCTTGAACCCCTGGGCTCAGGCAATCCTTTTGCCTTGGCCTCCCAAAGTGCTGGGATTATGGGCTGAGCTAACATGTCTGACAGAAACATGCATTATTTAGCTCTTTCTTTTTTTTTTGCTTTATAAACAAAAATATCTATTGAATAGACAGAGGAACTATGACTAGCACAGAATATTCTTTGTTAATAAATAAACCGTATATACTTACTGGTGATTCTTCTAAATTTTCATACAAGTAACGCTGAGTCCTCTTCACAACAGACACATCAGATCCCAAAAAAGGAATGGAATAACTATTGAGTTCTCTACAGTAAGAAATTGTCCACCTGCAAGACAGACCCATGAATATTTTGCATTTCCTCCAATTACAGTAACCACAACTTTGGTAAATTTTTGAATAAAGTAGCTTTTCTTGAGGTAATAACAAAGCATCAATGGCAGATTTGCTTTTAATTAAAATTTATTTCAGTAATTCTTCTTTTATTCTTTATATCCATACCCAAACAGTAACAAGTGAAATGGGGTGATATTCTTCATACCATGGATACTTAACAGCAAATGTAGCTTCACTATGTTTTACCCCACCAATTTCCCTAAACAGACCATTCATTTCAAACCTAGTATGGTGGCATGTACCTGTAATCCCAGCTAATTGGGAGGCTAAGAGGAAAGGATCCCTTGAACTCAGGAATTCGAGATCAGTCTGGGTAACATAGTGAGACCACCCCCAACTCAAAAAAAAAAAAAAAAAAGAACTTAAGAGACCAACTTAAACTCCTTATCTCTAAAGTTCTCACATAAGTACTATTAATAAAATGGATTAAACACATCATTAAAATACACATACCACATTAAAATACATCATACTTTAAGATGATTTTACAGCATACAATTTTTTTTTTTTTTGAGTGGGAGTCTCATTCTATCACCCAGGCTGGAGTGCCATGGAACGCTTACGGCCACAGCAGCCTTGGCCTGCTGGACTCAGATGATCCTCTGCCTCAGCCTTCCAAGTAGCTGGAATCACAGCATGCGCCACCATGCCCATCTAATTTTTTATTTATTTATTGTAGAGACGGGGTTTTGCCAAATTGCTCAGGTTGGTCTTGGACCCCTAGGCTCAGCAATCCTCTCACCTTGACCTCCCAAAGTGCTGGGATTACAGGCATGAGTCACCGCACCTGGTTTCAGTGCATACAATTTAACTGACATTTAATTTTTATATTGATAGTAAAAAGTAATCATAAAATTCACTTTCCCAGGGTTCAAATTACTATTACATATGTGATACTTAAGTTATGGTTATATTAATTATATTTCACTTGCCTTAGAAAACAATCCTGAACTTACCACAAAATAGTCTTCAGGTTTTTCTCAGTAGCATACTTTATTAATAGCTAACTAAATAACAATGTACTTACACTAGATACGTTAAAGAGTGTATTTTGAGTTAATCTACCTTCTTTTCAATTTTGGACCAACAAGCGGGACAGGTTTCAGATTTGATGCATTTCGTAGTTTTCTCAAATTACTCTGATCTCCAAAACCATAAACTGCTGACTTCCAGGTACCATCATGAATGCACAACCCCTAATAAAATATTTCAAGAGTTAAAGAAACATGTCATAAAGGTAATTACTAAAATTGAAGTCAAGTAACTTATAATTGTTATAAACAACATTTCATTTACATTTGGGTGGGACATAGTCCTTTATTTAATAACCTTGAGATGAATTCTCATAACCAGCTAGGCAGCAGTAACACTCATTAGTTTGCTCATATCCAACATAAGCTCTTTCTTCTCCCCTCCTACCATCATTTATGCTCTATAATAATATTTTAGTTTTACTTCTTCATTTTTACTAATTGACCACAGTACCTCAAAAGTAGCCATTCAATCCTTTTTTTTTCCTGCCCCCTATGATCTTCAGGAATAGTCACTCTAATCCTATCCCTACCCTATGCTGACTCCTCAAAATTCCAAGACACAGTAACATACACACAGCATACTGACCTCTATCCATTCCGTTACACTGGGTTTAGCCCCAAGTTATATATTCTGCAGAAGTCTTGTTAAAATAATTTTTTTTTGAGTTGGAGTCTCACTCCGTCGCCCAGGCTGTAGTGCAGTGGCATGCTCACAGTCACCCCAGTGTCAACCTGCTGGGCTCAGGCAATCCTTCTGCCTCAGCCTTCCAAGTAGCCATAACTATAGGTGCGTGCTACCATGCATGGCTAATTTTGTATTTATTGTAGAGACGAGGTCTCTCCAAGTTGCCTTGACTGGTCTCAAACCCACAGGCTCAGGCAATCCACCAGCCTCAACCTCCCAAAGTGCTGGGATTACAGGCTGAGCCACCGAGCCCAGTCAAAATAATTTTTTTAAATTAAAGTTCACTAATATGATTTATATTTTAATTTCTTTCCTCAATCCCTCAATGTCTTTTTGGCATTGTAGCCAGTACGGAATCCTTAGTATTTGCTTGCTCTTACCTAGACTCTCCTGCATCCATTTATTTTTCATCTCTTTCATGCAACTCTTAGTTTTCAGTGTCTTCCCTTCTCCCAATACCATTACACCTCCCCCAACCCTTACCTCCAACTCCACTGAGAAATGAATGGCAGAAAGGAGAGTCCAGGAGAGAATATAACCTCTGTTACAGTGCTGACTCTTCTTTACTCAACCTCTAGGTGGGTCATTCTATTATTACATAAATATTTAAACTTCATATATTATTTTGGTTGTAAATAACTGTATTATGTCCTTCTTTCTGTGTTGTTTATATTGTGCATATAAAGTTTTCAGATCTAAACCTACAGCTTCTAAACTATGGAGTCATACATGATTTATTATTTATAGTTTGGTTTCTTATGCTCAAAATTGTGATGTTAGAATTTATCATGCATTGCAAATAACTTCTACTCTGCAGCTAGTCTTTTGTCTTTCTTAATGGTGTCTTCTAATAAACATTCTTAATATATGCCTGTCTGTCTGTCTGTCTATTTATCTATCTATCTACCTACTGAGGCAGAGTCCCATCCATCCATCCATCCATCCATCCATTCATCCATCTATCTCTCTATCTCTCTATCTACTAAGGCAGAGTCTCATTCTATCACCCAGGTTGGAGGGCAGTGGCATGATCATGGCTTACCACAGCACTGACCTTCTGGTATGAGGCAATACTTCTGCCTCAGCCTTCCAAGTAGCTAGGACTATAGGTGCACACCATCATCTCCAGCCTAATTTTTAATTTTTTTGCAGAGATGAGATCTCATTATGTTGCCCAGGTGGTCTTGAACTCCTGGGCTCAAGCAATCCTTCCCCCTTGGCCTCCCAAAGTGCTGCGATTACACGTGTGAGCCACATGCCTGGCAGTCAATTTTAAATGTATACAAATATATCACTTTTTTGTTACATTTAATGCCTCTGTGTCTCTTTTTAGAAGCCATTCCCAACTGTAAGGGTATGAAGTAAGTAAACTAAAAGCTTTACTGTTTTGACACCTTTCACATTTAGGTCTGTAATCCACCTAAACTTGATCTTTGTACAAGGTGCAAAAATCTAATTTTATTTTTTCTCCAAATTGATACTCAACTCTCCCAGCATCAGCTACTGAAAAGTCCCCTTTGATTTTTCCACCATCTTGGAGCCTGTGACAGCCTGCTGGGAGCAAGGCAAAAGTAGCTGGAAGGCTGTGGTCCAAGGCAATTTTTGCTGACTACAAGTGGGGTCTCTGGAACCAAAGGGAGTACATGGCTCTTCCTAAAACTGAAGGTGTTTATGCCTGAAATAAGACTGAATTTTCTTTGGGAGAGAGATTTTTGACATTCACAGTCACATCATCTGCAGAAAATAGTTTTGCTTCTTCCTTTCTAATTTATATGCAGTTCATTTCTGGTTTCCTGACTGACAGCTCTAGCTAGCATCTGGCTGAAGTAATAGTGGGCATCTATGTCTTATTCCTGAAGTCACAGTAAAAGTTTTCAATGTTGCACACTGGGCATCAAGTTTGTTATAGCTTATTTGTTACAGCTTTTTTGTTGCTGTTTTTTTAAGAAACAAGGTCTCTCTCTCCATGCCCTGTTGCCAGGCTAGAGTGCAGTGGTGCGATCATAAATCGCTGCAGCCTCAAACTCCTGGGTTTAAGAGATCCTCCCACCTCAGCCTCCCAAGTAGTTGGGACCACAGGCATGAGCTACCATGCCTGGCTTATTATAGCATTTTAAAAAATATACTCTTCCCTTCTATTCTTAGTTTGCTGTCAGTTTTAATCATGAAAACATACTACATTTTATCAAATGTCTTTTCTCCAGCTATTGAGATAATCACATGATTTCCTAACTTTAACCTCTTAATAAGGTGAATTACAGAGATTACATAGCATTAAAGCTTGCATTTCTGCTCTAAAGTCAACTTGATCAAAATACATTATTCTTTCTATATAGTACTGCTTTAAAAAAATTTTAACACACCCAACATTATAACAAAAGATATTACTGCTTTAAGCCGGGCTCGGTGGCTCAGCCTGTAATCCCGCGCCGTTGGGAAGCTGAGGTGAGTGGATTGCCTGAGCCCGCGGGTTCGAGACCCGCCTGGGCAGCGAGACCTCATCTCTACAATAAATAAAAAAATCAGCGGGCGTGGTAGCACGTGCCTGTAATTCTGGCTACTCGGAAGGCTGAGGCGGAAGGATCGCCGGAGCCCAGCAGGTCAAGGCTGCGGTGGCCGGGAGCGGCCACTGCACTCCAGTCTGGGCGACAGAGTGAGACTCCAACTCAAAAAAAGATATTACTGCTTTTAATTTGCTAATGTTTTGTTTAAGATTTTTACATCTATGTTCCTACGAAACTAGACTGCATTTTTCCATTATGGAATTGTTCTTGCAGGGTTTGCGAGTCATGGTTTGCTAGCCTCATCCATTCAATTCATTTGACAAACACTTATTGAGCTGCTATTATGTGACCAGCACTGTTTTAGGTGCTCAGATAAGTAAAATGAGAAAGATTCCTCCTTTCATGGTGCTTATATTTTACAGAGGGTGATAAAGTAAATGGAAAATATAATATATAAGCTGGGCTCGGTGGCTCAGCCTGTAACCCCGTGCTTTGGGAGGCTGAGGTGAGTGGATTGCCTGAGCCCGCGGGTTTGAGACCCACCTGGGCAACTTGGTGAGACCTCATCTCTACAATTAAAAAAAAAAAAATCAGCCGGGCGTGATAGCGCATGCCTGTAATTCCAGCTACTTGGAAGGCTGAGGCGGAAGGATTGCCAGCGCCCAGTGGGTCGAGGCTGCAGTGGCCAGAAGCGGCCACTGCACTCCAATCTGGGCAACAGAGTGAGATTCCAACTCAAAAAAAGAAAATGTAATATAAAGAACTCAGAAAGTAAGAAATACTGCAGAAAAAAAAGTGGAGAGTAGATAAAATGAACTGGGAGTGCTAGGCAAGGGAGTTGGTTCACAATTTTAAATAGGTCAGGCTTCTTTAGAAAGTAATATTTTAGAAAAGTCTTGAAGAAGGTGAGGTGGTTAATCATGGGAATATCTTAGAGAACTGTTTACAAGCAAAGGAAACAGCCAGTACAAAAATCTGAAGGCAGAAGTGTGCTGGCATGTTCAAGAAGCAGCATAGAAGTCAGTGTCACTTGAGAAAAATGTACATGGGTAAATTTTGGGAGAAAAGTCTGGAGAGTTAACTGGGCCCAGATCATGTATAACCATGCATTCTACTGTCAGGACTTGGGCTTTCTTTTTGACTGTAACAAGAAACCGCTACAGAATTCTGAGCTAAGGAGTGACATGATCTAGGTTATGTTAGAAAAGGATCACTGTGGGCCGGGATCAGTGGTTCAGACTGTAATCCCAGCACTTTGGGAGGCTGAGGCAAGTGGATTGCCTGAGCCCGTGCAGTTGAGAACAGCCTGGGCAACTTGGGGAGACCTCATCTCTACAATATATCAAAAACTAGCTGGGTGTGGTAGCGTGTGCCTGTAGTTCCAGCTTCTTGGAATACTGAGGTGGAAGGATCGCCTGAGCCCAGCAGGTCAATGCTGGGGTGGCAGTGAGTGTGCACGCCACTGCACTCCAGGCTGGACAACAGAGTGAAACTCTAACTCAAAAAAAAAAAAAAAAGAAAGAAAAGGATCACTGTGGCTTTGTGTTGAAAACAGACTGCAGGGGAATAAGTGGTAACAAGATGGGACAATAGCAAGGGAAGTGGTTTAAAAAATGACCAGATTCTGACATATTTTAAGGTAGATTCAACAAATTTCTTGACAGACTAGATATGAGCTTCAGAGTGAAGGGTTAGCAATGGCCCCATTGTTTAGCTTGAACATTTACAGACAAACTGTGGTTAGAGCACATCTGGAAAGGAAAAACAGATGTTCAGCTATGGACATAAATAGTTTGAGATATCTATTAAATGTTCAAGTAGAGATGTCAATTAGGCAATTGGATATTAACTCTCGAGTCCAGGAAAAGATCTGAGTTGATGACATTGGGTTGATGACATAAATTACATTTCTTAATATCCAAATACATATATAGAGGTTTTGTTATTATCTCTTTATGGATTTCTAATAAAATTGCATTATAGCCTAAAACATACTTTAGAACAGGGGTTGGCAAATTGCTTCTATAAAAGTCAGATGGCAAATATTTTAGGGTTTTTCAGGCCACATAATAAGGATATCCGCCACATATTCTTATTTTTTATTACAGTCCTTTAAAAATGTAATAACCCTTGTTAGCTTGCAGCCCATATAAAAACAGGCATGGGCTCTACGTACTGTAGAGGTACACTATCCAATACGGTAGCCACTACCACCGTTGTGGGAGGATCTACTACACAGTACTGCTCTATGATTTCAATCCTCTGAAATTCTTTCAGTCTTGTCTTATGGCCCAGGCTATGTTTACATACAGTTTAAATACAGTCTATGATTCCATTTTTAATGTAAAAATTAAAAAGTTTAAAGGAAAAAGTAGGATAAGGAGTGGCTACAGAACAACAGTCTCATGCCAAAGGACACACAGATATAGGGAACATTCTCACCATCCCATCCTTATGAAATTAAGGCTCTGTATTTTGCTTTAAGGTGAACAAGAGAGGGTAGCTGCAGTGATATGGATGCTTCAACTCCCCTGTTTTAGTTTAGCCCCAACTTTTGTGTCTTTATATTAATAACAACACAACATTTATTGAACAATTACTAAGTGCCAACCACTATTCTGATATACATTCACTGACTAATTTAATCCTCATAGGACCATATGAAGCAGATATTATCATCTCCTTTTATACATGCAGGAAATGAGGCATACAGAAGATAAGTAAACTTGCCCGTGGTCACATCACTGCTAAGAGGCAGAGGCAGATTTCAAGCCCAGGGACTCCAGTTCCAAAATCTGTACTCATAACCATTCTGAGAAAAATTCTTGACTCCATAAGAATCATTCATCCAGTAGTTCTTTTGTTGCTTCAGGTAAAGGGGAAGACTATCATTAGCTCTATCTGGTCTTTCCAACCACATCTCCTACTGCTCTTTCAAAGGAGGCCTCTTTTCTAGCTCTTCCAATTTTCCCACTATCTCCATGTAGTGCATTTGCTTTTTGTCAGTCCTGTACAAATTCCCCACAGCCCCTGACCTCATCTTCTGTTTATAAAACTCTCCTTTCTGGAACCTGCTCCATTTTGTTCAAATGGAGTTGACCCTATCCCCCCTGCAGTGGTCCATGACCCACACTCAGGCAATCTGATTACTCCATTATCCTGGGTCATACTGGCTGGCTCAAAAATGGCCAAATGGCCCAATACTTGACTATTCTTCCCTATTATTTGATATGTATACTCTGGTAACTCTTCCCAGGAAATTATAAGCCTTAAGGACAAAGTATACTAGAGGCTGTCAGCGCCTCCCCTGCTGTCAAGAGCCTATACAAAGAAAAAAGAAGGGAAAACAAAAGAGTTCTGACAATATCATTTGCACATCTAGATCCAGTCAAATTACTTACTTGTAGACATTTGGTTATATGAATCAATAAATTCCTTTTTGTTTTGTTGGTTGAACCTGGGTTGAGTTGGGGTTCTAACACACATTACCTAGCTTCCCAGGCAAGCCTTTCTCATTCTTGTTTCTGAGCCTCCGTTCAGGTTGCTGCCTCTGACCTTCCAAATGCAATTCACTTTTCAAGGCTAAGCTCAGTAAGACCTCTGTGAGGCATCCCCAAACTACTCAGGCCCACTATCACTTCTTTTTATTCTTATACTCTAGTACAGTGGTCCCCAACATTTGTTGGCATCAGAAACTGGTTTCATGGAAGACAATTTTTCTATGGATGGGGGCGGGGGGATCATCAGGCATTAGATTCTCATAAGGAGTGCAGCCTAGATCCCTGGTATGTACAGTTCACAAGAGAGTTCTACTCCTATGAGAATTTAATGCTGCTGCTAATCTGACAGGAGGCAGAGCTCTGCTCACCTGCCACTCATGTCCTGCTGTGTAACCCGGTTCCTGATCTGTGGCCCAGGACTTGGGGACTCCTGTTCTAGTAGATAGTCTGTGTAAACACAAATTTTAGTATATTTTATATAGCTCCTTTTTTCTTTTTTTGAGTTGGAATCTCATTCTGTTGCCCAGGCTGCAGTGCAGTGGCACAGTCTCAGGTACAGCAGCCTCAACCTCCTGGGCTCAGGCAATCCTTCTGCCTTAGCCTCTTAGCAAATTTTTTGATTTATTGTAGAGATGAGGTCTTGCCATGTGGCCCAAGCTGGTTTTGAACTCCTGGGCTCAGGCAATCCTCTCGCTTCGGCCTCCCAAAGTGCTAGGATTTCAGGCGTGAATCACCACGCCCGGTCTTTTATATAGTTATTTATGTTAACCTGAACCCACTCCAGATGAAGAGAATCATTACTTTTATCTAAACATGTTCCACACCATCCCACCTTTGTCTTTGTTACACTATGTCTCTTCCTTCACATCTCCATAGCACTAGCCCTTGAAATGCAGTCCATATCTCAGATTCTCCAAAAAGGTCTTGATCTCTGGACTCCCAGTTAGATATAACTCTCTATTCTCACAATACAGTATCTCACCTGATCTCTTGAATAACAAACACTTTCTCTTTCTTGCCAAACTAAATTATTAGCACTTGATGGGTAAGGTTTGCATCTTATTCATTTACATGTCACTTTATCTTGCACTACACTATATGCATATGCACTACTACATAATATTTGTTAAATGAATATCTTTTAGAACAAATACTTCTAAAGTCACAGAACAGACCTAGAACTGGGTTAGCCACTATTGGCAATAAAAGTATCATCATAAAGTATGATCCTTCCCAGAAATGCAACTAACATATGTTCTCAAATAGACTAAATAAATTCAGCAAGACTATATTTACCTCATACATTTCTTTTTTTTCACAACAGTATCTAACTCCAAGTTAGGCATATGATAAAAATACACTGACTTGCACTAAGTCAAAAATTTTCTTGGTTGACAATATTTACTATGCAACAATGACAGATGCTTTAGTGTTGGGATTATGGTAATTAATTCTAATATAATGAATTGTGCAGCTGTTTTAAATAAATTATATTTTAAGTCAAATAATCTTGGTGATTTCGAAACTTAACTTTCAAAATTTAAACTAGTGACTGCCGTACATTAAAATTATATTAAAAATTCAATAATCTTAATCTTTTTTAAAGATGCAAACATAACTTCTAAAATTTTTTTAATATTAACTTGAAAAAACAATCGAAAAACAGAAAAACCAACCTCAGATCCTGAATGTATAGTTAAGAAACTTTCCACAGCAGTCAAAGTACCTAAAAGAGTAAGAGAATGGTAAAAGTAAAATCAAATAAAACCTAAATTATTTAGCCAGGACAAGTAATGATAAACTATTCCTATTCATTTAGGGACCACCTTTACTAAGCCTACAGTTGGTACAGTCAGAAAATCTATATAGGTAACACATGTTTTAAAAAAAAATAGAGACAGGGTCTCGCTATGTTGCCCAGGCTGGTCTCAAACTCCTGGCCTTAAGCCATCCTCCTGCCTCAGCCACTGTGCCCAGTGCTCCATTCTTTAAGAGACAATGTTCCTGGTTTTAATTCCAAGAAGAAATTAAAACATGAAGCCTTACAAAGTTGACACTGAGCAAGATAACAACCATATTATCAACAAACGTTACAGCAAAAGAGAACTATAGCCACATAAATGTCATTAGTCTGATCACAGAAAAAAATAAAACATAGATCATAACTACAGTAGAGATGATTCTGATGATTGCTAAGAGAATGTGGGCTAGTATATGGCTCTGTGATCTACCCTATTCACAGAAAGAAAACAGACTACCTAAAGAAATAATTTAATAAAATGTGGACTACCTGCATAAAAAATCAGCTGGGGTACTTGTTAAAGTGCTGGCGTCTATGCTTTAGTATCTGAAAATTAATTTTTAAACAAATCTTAAAGTAATATTTCTTACTTAAGAAAAAATACATATTCAAAATAAAAACAAAAACTATGAAATATTTAGGAATAATTCCAATAAGTAGATATTATGAAGAAAACTTCGAAACTTCACAGACTTTAAGAATATTTTTTAATAAATGGAGACATCAGGTCCAAGAATTGGAAGTCTAAGTACTTTTATTTATTTATTTATTTATTTATTTGAGATGGAGTCTCACTCTGTCGCCCAGACTGGAGTGCAGTGGCCGCTCCTGGCCACCGC